GATGAATTTTGGATCTTTTTTGAAATTATCTGTGTTAGGATTTTTTGAGCTTTTTATTTGACTGTCTATTAAATTTTTAGGATAACCTCTTCTGAACCTCTTCTAACCTCTTCTAGTGAATTGCTGAGTTTTTCAATATAATTTTGGTAATCACGATTTTCAGAACAAAGGTTTTTTGCTCGTATTGATAGGCTTTTTGGTATGGATTTTTTAATGTGTGCAGGATGACAGCTTGAGTAAGCTAAGTAATCCATTGTATTCGTATCCTTTACATGGATTTTGGATTTTAACATACCATCTCTAACAAAAACGTCAACATCCAAAAAAGTAACAATATCTTTTGAGAAGTTCCAGGTAAATTTAAGGATTGAGAATTGATTTAGATTTTCAAGGAAAGTTTGCAGGTTTTCTAGTCCATGTTCCCAAACCATGAAAATGTCATCAATAAACCTATACCAAATTGAAGGTTTCAACATTTGTGAATTTAGAAAAAGTTCTTCAACATGCCCAACAAATAAGTTTGCAAAAGAAGGTGCCATACGTGTGCCCATAGCTGTCCCTTTCACTTGAAGGTAATTTTGATCAAGGAATTTAAAATTGTTCATGGTTAAAACAAAATGAATTAAGTTTATAATAAAATTTGCACTAGGTTTGGAGTTAACTGGACGTTTTTCTAGGTATTTCTTTACAGATTTTTCTCCTTCTTCATGTGGGATGTTAGTATATAGTGAAACTACATCAATTGTCACCAATATAGTATTGTCCGTTAGTGGGGTGTTTAAGTTCTTAATTTTATTAAGGAAGTCTTTGGAGTCTCTTATATATGACGGTAAAGTTTTCACTATTGGTTGGAGGGTGTCATCAACGAATGCTGAAATCCTTTCAGTGGGTGATCCATATCCAGATACGATAGGTCTTCCAGGTGGTGGTCGAATGGGTTTGTGGACTTTAGGTAAAAGATAAAAAATTGGTGTTCTTGGATTTAGAGGGCTCAAAAGTTTTATAGTTTCTTGACTTAGGTCTTCATTTGGTCCATATTTTTGCAAAAATTTAGAAATGTCATCATTGAAAGTTAAGGTAGGGTCATTTGGGATTTTTTTGTAGAATTCAGCGTCATTCAGTTGTCTTTCTGCTTCTTTTATATAATCTTCACGATTCAAGATTACTGTACTGTTGCCTTTATCTGCTTTTACAATTATTATGGAAGAATTTTCTTTCAATGAACGTATAGCTTTTCTTTCATTTTTTGTAAGATTATCCTTTGAATGTAGTGAGGATTCAAATTTAGGATCAGAAATGTTGGAGATTACAGTATTAATGAATTGCTCTACTGGATGGTCAGGAGGAAGAGGATCAGGTTCCCAGTTTGATTTAGGTTTGAATTTATCCAAGCAATTGGGCGTTGAACAATTTGGACTGTGAATTTGGACTGTGTTTGGCTGTTGTTTAATATAATATTGTATTCTGACATTTCTCATTTAATCACTAGTTTAATCACTAGTCCCAAGTTTAATCACTTTGATTTTGTCGCAGATGGTCTCTCTTTTGCTAGAAATGTCAGAATACAATATTATATTAAACAACAGCCAAACACAGTCCAAATTCACAGTCCAAATTGTTCAACGCCCAATTGCTTGGATAAATTCAAACCTAAATCAAACTGGGAACCTGATCCTCTTCCTCCTGACCATCCAGTAGAGCAATTCATTAATACTGTAATCTCCAACATTTCTGATCCTAAATTTGAATCCTCACTACATTCAAAGGATAATCTTACAAAAAATGAAAGAAAAGCTATACGTTCATTGAAAGAAAATTCTTCCATAATAATTGTAAAAGCAGATAAAGGCAACAGTACAGTAATCTTGAATCGTGAAGATTATATAAAAGAAGCAGAAAGACAACTGAATGACGCTGAATTCTACAAAAAAATCCCAAATGACCCTACCTTAACTTTCAATGATGACATTTCTAAATTTTTGCAAAAATATGGACCAAATGAAGACCTAAGTCAAGAAACTATAAAACTTTTGAGCCCTCTAAATCCAAGAACACCAATTTTTTATCTTTTACCTAAAGTCCACAAACCCATTCGACCACCACCTGGAAGACCTATCGTATCTGGATATGGATCACCCACTGAAAGGATTTCAGCATTCGTTGATGACACCCTCCAACCAATAGTGAAAACTTTACCGTCATATATAAGAGACTCCAAAGACTTCCTTAATAAAATTAAGAACTTAAACACCCCACTAACGGACAATACTATATTGGTGACAATTGATGTAGTTTCACTATATACTAACATCCCACATGAAGAAGGAGAAAAATCTGTAAAGAAATACCTAGAAAAACGTCCAGTTAACTCCAAACCTAGTGCAAATTTTATTATAAACTTAATTCATTTTGTTTTAACCATGAACAATTTTAAATTCCTTGATCAAAATTACCTTCAAGTGAAAGGGACAGCTATGGGCACACGTATGGCACCTTCTTTTGCAAACTTATTTGTTGGGCATGTTGAAGAACTTTTTCTAAATTCACAAATGTTGAAACCTTCAATTTGGTATAGGTTTATTGATGACATTTTCATGGTTTGGGAACATGGACTAGAAAACCTGCAAACTTTCCTTGAAAATCTAAATCAATTCTCAATCCTTAAATTTACCTGGAACTTCTCAAAAGATATTGTTACTTTTTTGGATGTTGACGTTTTTGTTAGAGATGGTATGTTAAAATCCAAAATCCATGTAAAGGATACGAATACAATGGATTACTTAGCTTACTCAAGCTGTCATCCTGCACACATTAAAAAATCCATACCAAAAAGCCTATCAATACGAGCAAAAAACCTTTGTTCTGAAAATCGTGATTACCAAAATTATATTGAAAAACTCAGCAATTCACTTAACAGAAGAGGTTATCCTAAAAATTTAATAGACAGTCAAATAAAAAGCTCAAAAAATCCTAACACAGATAATTTCAAAAAAGATCCAAAATTCATCACCCAATACTTTCCTGGCCTTTACAAAGTTAATAATGTTTTAAGAGTGGCACATAATATTCTTTCAAATTCACCTCTGACCCATAATTTGTTTTCCAAACCCCCAAGACTAATATACAAAAAAGCTCCTAACTTAAAAGACATTCTTTCAAAACCCAAACTACCTCCCACTTTCCAACCATCAGCAAAACCTTCGGGCTGTAATCAATGCAACAAACCACGATGTGCCACTTGCAAATTAATCATCCCATCAAAAACTTTCACAAGCAGGCAAACAAAAAGATGTTATAACATAAATAGTAACATCACCTGTGAGTCTACTAATGTAATTTACCAAATTTCATGCAAAAATTGTCCTAAAGACTACATTGGCAAAACCACCAATGCTCTAAGAGTTCGTATGAATGGCCACAGATATGATGTAAACCATCCTGATAAACAAAAACCTGTGGCTATTCATGCGAGAGAGCATTCTCAAAATTTTGAACAATGTTATTCATTAAAAGGAATAAGAAAATTGGCAAAAGACGCACCAGACTTGAAATTAAGACAGCTTGAGCAAGCTCATCAATTAATACTTAAATCTAAAACACCTTCCGGTCTAAATTTGAGATAGTATATATATACATATATATATAAATTTTTTTTCTTTCTTTCTATCAAAACATTTTCTTTTTTACTTCTTCATAAATTATATGTATTTTGGATTTTTGCTAAAACCATATGATTCAGAGTGGTAAACACTTCTATTTGTTATTGTGTTTGTTCCTGAAGAAGGCTAATGCCGAAATATAGAAATTTCTATAAAAGTGTGTGATAAGTTTATTTTGAAAATAAATAATAGTTAAGTTACTAAATAAATTGGACAAGGCTAGGTAGGTACCTTAAAATTCTGATTATAAACAATGTAATTATTTATGATCTAGGTAATACTTTAAATGTAAATGAGGCAAAAATGAGGACTCTTTTCTTACCATTACAGAAACGGTTCTCTAGATGTCATAGCCTGTAGGATAGGGTGGGGTAGAAAGTTCCAAAGGTGACCAGCTATCACTGCGAATGATCTATTACAAACAGTTGTCAGTACTTTGGTATTATCCAGAGGCCACTCTTATACACCACGCTGCGGCGGTTATGTTAGGTTGGGTTATCATAAATATGTTTGTAGAACTTTCCTTGTTTCGTTATGATTAAAAAGATACCAGGTATCCCCTCCAAGTAGGCCCAGGTTAGGTCTTTGACCGGAGCATGCGCATCACCTGTGACCGCCTGTTTCTAGGGTATTTGGAGAAAGTATGATTCATCTGGTATCGTTCAATTCATAAAGAAACGAGGAAAGTCCTACAAACATATTCATGATAACTCAGCCTAACATAACCGCCGCAGGGCGCTGTATACCTACTTGGCAGAGTTTAGCAGCGGCGACGCATTCAACTCAATCCTCGCCGACATCGCTGCCTTCTGGGAGGCTGAATTCATAGGCCGCTAATCGTAATCATGTCAAATTTGTTGCCAGACAGTAAGTCAATTAAATTATGTTCTTTCCAATTCTGTAGTTATTTTTGGTCTCCGGTTAATAAAATACCTCTAAAATAAGTGGCCTCAGGATAATACCTAAGTACCCAGTTGTCTTATATGGGGCGTAAGTTTGGGAAGCGAGCTGGTCTAGTGGAGAGCCAGGGACTTTGGTCCCTAAGGTCCCGAGTTTAAACTCCGCCAAATCACCAATGGATTTGATCTAAGCTATAATGCCTCAACCTCTAGGCCTAGCCAGAAGAAATGTGAAAACAATCTAGAGCTTGTGCCTAACGTAAAAAAAAAACAGGACAAAAAAATGGGGCATAACTTAGAGGATGACAAGTCATTGTGAAATCTTTTACTTTTTTGGTTTAAAAAACAAAAAAAGACAAAGTTAGATCTGTGAAGTAATGTCTTCAACTAAACCAAAACTTTCAGTTTTAGACTCAAATTATGTTTAAAATGATGTTTCCAGTCAAGATGCTTGTTCATGAAGAGGTTGAACGCCTCACTAGTGCAATGGCATCAAGCTTGAAGAAAAAATGCCCTGAAGATGACATTGCAGAAAGAGCACTGATTGAAGGAATCAAGAATAACCTGGTCAAACAGTATATGAACAATGCCGAATCATCTCTCGGTATGCTAAAAGTAAGTAGAAAAACAAAAGAGGATGTAGAACTAAAACATTTTTGGCGTATGTTTAACAACTACTTGTGACTTGATTCCATAGCTTTTTTTACAGTAGGTAGTTATGGTACCTAAAGAGTGATGCCTGGCGACTTAGATCTAGAAGAACTATGACAAATGTAACAATAATTCTTATTACCCTCTGCTCTTGTAGAGTCATTTAAGAGATATTCACATTTATTTTGTATCAGCCCGTAATCTCCATCTTTCAACTTCTAGTCTCTAAAGCCTCGTCCACACATGGCGATTTGTCTGCGGAAACATTGTCGGCCGACTGTCAGCTGTAGTGTTGCCATTTGTCTCCAGCGAAGTCTCCAGTAAGTCGGCTGACTGTCTTCCGGCTGTTGGCAGACAAATTTCGGTGTTTCTGGAGACAAAATACAGTGTTTTCTGTTTCCCATTCAAATGGGAAACACGGAGACAAGATACAAGACTTTTGTGTCAAGTCTGCATGTGTGTACGTGTCTGGAGACGGGAGACTGGATACAAGCCGAAGGTGTTCAACATTCAGCCCATTTAGTTGGACTGCAAAGCGGTAATATTACAATTTTTGGGCGGTTTTAACAGAGCTGGATTGAGTTTATTGAAAGTTTTTGAATCAGTTTCAATAATTTATATTATTATATGAAATTTTATTGAATTGAAGTGTGAAATCTTAGGCTTTAGGTGTGTTCCAGCCTAGCAAAACTTCAAAATCTTTAGAAGTCAACCTCGTGAAGTTCCTATATCCTTCACCTAATCTGAAGGTCTGATAGAAGATTGTGACCATAGTACGGACCTTGCTCGCGAAAATGTTGGGTCCATCGTTGTCTATTCCTAGGTTTATTAGCCCCATGTTTAAGAAATATGAAGCCCGCAGAGGATATAATTACGTTCTCCATGGTCGCCATACCAACAAACATAGAAACACTGGCTGGCTAGTGTGGACGCAAAACACATCGAAAACTTGTATCCGAAACTGTGTTGAGATACTGTCCGCTGACTGTTGGCGCACAGTCGGCCGACTCAGTAATGTAAGGACTAGGCTTAATGAAGATCCTCATCCAGTTCATCTACCAATCTCTTTTAGTTCTAGTTTTAGTATATTAAGCTTGTAGAGATCACCAGCAGTGGGTTAGGCTGATGGATGACTTTGTTTAACTGGCTCTAACTTCCTCGGTTGTATTTTCCAAAGGTGAACATTGAGCTAAAATATACCTTTGAATAATCTAACAATTGTAAATGAAACACCAATTACGATAAAACACTACAATTGACTCTTCCTCGTTCGGATCTGTTTGGCTCCTACAACCACTAGTGTATCATATGACACACTCAACACCAAACAACCATCACTTTGTCTGTTTAGCCACATGAACAAGTATTAAGCTATTTGTCAAATTATGTTTGGTACAGTGTATCATGTTTTTTTCTACCTGTGTCCCATTATTTGTTTGATACAATTCTGTTGTTTTCCATATTTAATACTTATGACTTTGAAATATATTCATCCTTTTTTTCTGATGGTTCAGACTTTTTTGTTCCAGTCCCAACCTATCTGGACAAGAGATCCACAGAAATGTTTAATGGTTATCAAGACTCTTTAGTAGTTCTGATAAGTAACTCTAAAAACTGCATTTGATATGAATTGCGTTTAGTTAAGAGTCAATTGCAGGCCCAGTTGAGAGAGCTGTTGCACATTCCCCCGCATGTGTTACTCCCTGAAGACGAAACGCAGAGGATACAGTACACGTCTGAGGAGGAAAAAGAAATGGACAATCTTTTGGAGGACTTGTTCCAGCGACTAAAGAGGGTAAACTTTGTTAGGGTAAATTGAGGGTAAATTTTAGTAAACTTTGTAGTGATAAAATAAAAAAAAAATTAGCAGTAGATTTAAAAGATAAAAAAGTTGTATTTTGCCATGTTTTATAAAAGTAGGTATGTTTTACCATGGATAAAACATACTCCTTTGTGTTTTGTTTACAATTTGTTTCTTGTTATTTCAGTAATTTAAAACCTCATTTTAACAAAATAAACGATATAATCATAAACAATAACTGGTCTTCTAGTTATATAACCAAATAGTAAATCACAAATCCTGAAAATAACCCTAAAATAATAGAAAAATTATTTATTTCAAATTTCAACCACATCTTCAATTCGATATTTTAACCGATACTGTCCTGTTCTATGTTAAATGAGGTATAACAATCGATAATAAAACGAATTTTGATATTTTTGACCTGAATTACTTGTTTTGGCCGTACTGAAAATTTTGCATCGCCACCAAGAGGTCCTTTACGCTTTCCACATCATATATATGTTCTAATAATTGGTATCCGTAACTCAGCTATGTTCCCATATTCCAGGCAAAAGCTTTTAAAGTTGAACTTCTGCAAGAAATGAAAATGCTGCAAGATGTGCTGCCTGATCTTAACAGACGAGTAGAAGAACTGGAAACTCTTGCAGCCACACATCAGAAAAAAGAAGAAGATCTGCGATCGTTGGTGCCTACCCTTGGAGAAGTGATTAACAAAACTCAAACGATATCTCAACTTGGCAATGATTTCATAAATTTTCTTTAGAGTAAATGATAAATTTAGAGTATGTGAGCCTTAGAATAAATTTTTGACTATAATATCTAGACGATATGTGTAATTAAATTGTATCTCAATGTCTGTCTCTCCTATTAATAAACCTTTGCATTGTTTGTAAATCATTTTGTGGTCATTGTTAAATGTCACCCTTGTGCTTTTTATAGTGACACTAGCTTGTACCCGCGTCTTTGCCTGTGGTGGTATAACCATCATACAGCGTAAGAAATAAAAACAGACAAACTTTCACATTTTTTAATATTTACAAGATCTAATGCCATTTCAAGGAGAGAACGTATCATCCCTTATTATAAGCAGAAACGTTATATAATGTGTTATAACCAAGGCATTGCCAAGATTTTTTAACAAGGAAAGGAAGTGTTTAGTTTTACTTTTTAAATAGTGTAATTAATTTTGTATTACAGTAGTATGATTTGTGTTTTTTTGCACATTGATAATGGAAGGCCCTAAAGATCAATTTACACTTTCAGTGTATTATTTCCACGTAAAATATCAAATATTATTTAAAAATGGTAAGAGGTTATCAATTTTGATCACTTTCTATACTCAAGTCAGACCTAATTGGTAAATTACAAACACATTTACTGTAATTAATTTAGTTTAAAACATGAAATATTTTGGGAATTTTATACTTAAGCCTCAGCTACACTATACATTGTTTTTGAAAATACCCCCGCCGCAGCAAACCTGCAGACTAAGCGAATTTCTACTTGTCTGATTACATTATTACTAAAATATTTCCATGAATAAGACATATTTATTCCCAATTTAAATAACATTAGATTTAACGAGTGCTTAGGTTTGCTGCTACGGGGAAGGTAAAAAGTGTTTTTTGACCATTCCTCAATAGTATAGGATGAAATAAATAAATTTGCCAAATTTTATCAACATATATCCATAAACAAGTAAATTCCCTATATGGGTAATTCGTTAAAAAGTACAAAAGTAACTGAGGTTTTTGGACAGAGGTATGGACAATACAAGTGGCTTAAGGCTTTAGAAAGTCACCCCATCGTGGAAGATCTCCATGCTTTCTTGGGGTATGGACCCAGTAGCCCTCCAATTGACAAGGTCCTAGAAGCTCCACTGTGTACTACCACAGATGTTTTCTGTGGTACTACTATGGCCTTTGCCAAACTGCCGGCCTTGTTAACTTCGTACCCACGAATGTTGGAAGAACCTACCTATTTTAAGTTTTCTTTACAAATTGTATGAACAATACAGCAAGTATTATGTTCTTTGTGTGAATATATTAAATCTATTTAATATATTCTGTTAATACATAACCAAACCCTTTTAACTGTAAATAATCAGATGTTGTTGATTATTATATCAGATGATGTTTGTAGATTTGTTGATTCCCATAATCCTAAAAATTTAGAATCTCTCAATAAGAGCAAAACCTGTGCCTCCCTCTGCTCTTTTTGAAAAATACTGTCAAATTAAAGTACCGGTATTTACAGTTTACCTTAATTGATATATTTACATATTCTTCCAAATTGTAAACATTGAAAATTTGGAAGCACATGGGGCATGGATCTTAGCCAGCATATTCTGTGACTAGCTCCCAGATGTTCTTTTTTTGTTCTATAACTACACACTACAATGACAGGGTGGGGAGTTGGCTGTGCCACGGCCACCTTTAACTGCGGCCGTGTTAATCCCATAAAGGTCAAGTACCCCTGACACCCAGAGATCACCTTTTAAACCCATCTTTGGGACTTCACCTTGGGTGTAAAGTTTTCTCTCACTGGTTAAACTGTAGTTCTTTGTATCTCGTGACTGACGGTAATGCTGGTTTTATGATAATTCATGAGCTTTGTATGGCTATTATTTTGTACGCAATTTAAGAAATGATTAAGGTTGGACTGTTCATGGAATACAATAATTATGTCTACACGACCGTGGGAAATGTTTAGAATTTGCCGCGATCGCGGAAGACGATAATGATATCTATACGGCCACGGGAGACGATAATGATGTCAACACGGCTACGAGGGATTATCAGAGGTTTACCGCAATCGCATGTAAATACAATTACAAAATATTTTTTTATTTTCCAATTTTTGGCGCCCCTCAAAAAAACCAATTGCCTAGCGCCCTAGGCACGTGCCTACCGTGCCTATTCGGTAAATCGGCCCTGTGGACTCAAAACAATGTTTTGCCTTGCACTCGGATTGAATTATTTCTCTGTTTACGATGACTGATATGTGATACCGTACTTGATTTGTAAAATCTTGCCCTCAACCTCTACCTTACATTAGTACTCTGATGCTTTAAGTTTTGTTACATAATTTAAGATTATAGGTTAATGATTAATGATTAATTTTAGAGTAATGTTTTATAGTTGAGATTATAATCTGCTAAGGATTGTTAAGTTTAGCGTGTGTCTCAAACAAGTCTATGGGTGGGATTTGCTATCTCTGGAATTGAAACTCGCTAACCCGTGTTCGTGTTGGGTGGTACACCTAGCTATATTTTTTTAGCTATATATTTTTTTTATAACCATGAATGACGGAAAATGGAAAGGAACGGAAGTGCTGTGCGCTGTACATTATAACCAACCATCGATATTGAATACGGCAAGGAAGTAAAATTTTAATCTATGCAATGACACAACACATCCGTTTCTGAAGCGTCACATACTCTTTGGTAGTCACGTCGTTTTTTTTGTCATACAGATCCATCACTGAGCTTTGCCCAATACGGAGTGACTATTCGCACGTCAAAATGCTCCACAGTCCGTTCCCGTTCGAGCTCCAGTATTCAGTTGTATTGCGAAATACACAGAGGATACGCGTCCGGTAACCAGACGTGGATTAGGCGTCCGGTAGTCACGTCACCGGGTTGTGGGGTCCCGGAACGCCATTACCACAACGATACGATGAACGGTCAGCGTTGTTCGTGGTGTAGTGGATAGAGTGCTCGGCTGATATCCTAGAGGTCCCTGGTTCGAAACCCAACGGTTTCTTTAACTTTTTGTCAAAGATTTTGCTTTGAATGTAATTTCTTCTTAACTGTACATCTTTTGTTAGAATTTTTGGCATTTAAAATTTTATGTTATAAAGAGAATTGAACCTTCATTTGATTTTTTAATTATCAGCAAGTTTGGTTGGTTAGGTTAGGTTATGACAGTAACTGCCGGACGCCTAATCCACGTCCGGTTACCGGACGCGTATCCTCTGCGTACAACATAATGCAAAGGGAACGTTCAGGTTCAGTTACTCATTTTGAATGACTTACTACTTTCTACTTATTTGAAGATCAAGATGGAGGTCCCTTTGACATTTTGTGATTTTGAAGCGTTAGATGAATTTATTTCAAGAAAGGAAAATGACGAATACATACAGTTATGGATTGAACGTTCAAGAACAATCGATCGAGCCAGAAAAGGTTTTAAAAACCACATAAAGATGATAATTTGACATATTATGAATTGACATTAAATAATTAGTTCCAATAGAAATAAAAACTGTTTTTATCAACTCACATGCATAACAATTTATGTAAAATAAAAATTTGCATTTTACTTAATTAGTGCGTTCAATTGTACCCCACTTCTTATTCAAAAGTACCCCACCAGTGGGGTACAGTGGGGAATTGCATACCTTTGTGAAAACAGATATTGCAGAATAACATGTTAACTTGGAGGGTTTAAAAAATAACTAAATTAAAGCAAAAATTATGTTACGACTAAAAACACATAAATTCACCTAATAAAAATTAAAGTTAAAAAAGTTTCAAATGTGCCCCACTCTCCCCTAATGACTATCCTACTTCTGGGCTATCTAGGCCAACATAGGCCTACCAAAATTGCACTACCTTTTATAGGCCCAGCCTGTGATTGGTCAAGTAGGCTAACATCAGGCCTAGGCTTAAGTTTTTTAAGATTCTTATATTGAATCTTCTAATGTGTTTTTCTGATTGCTTATAACCTCTTTGGCTCTGTTGAACTCGTTTACCTTTCTCTTTGCGAAGTTGATTACATCCATTTTGGCTAAAATGAGGCACTACCGTTACCATTCCTAATACTAGGATATCTTTGTGTGCAGCCTGTTCCAAAACAGCTGTAACAGTTACTAGATTAGGAACATAGTGTGACGTCATTTGGAGCAGACGTGTGGGGTAGTGGCGCACGTCTGACGTGCGAATAGCCACTGCCTATCCAATATCCACAGCCAATCACGTAATGTTGAGGTTGCATTGTGGGAGTTTATAATTTATTCCATTTCTGCAAGTCGGCCTGTCGGCCATTTTGTGGAGTTATATCCAGGTTTTGCCGCATCGTTGTGTGATTATTTTGAATTTAACTTACATCGAGACAATTGGTATAAACTAGTGGAAAGAGTGCAAATGATAAATACTATACGTAGCTCAGTTGTGGTGTCGTGATTTATAAATACATTCCAATGGATCCTGCCAAACTTAAAGTTGTAGAATTGCGCGCCGAATTATCGGCAAGAGGGCTTGATAATAAAGGTGTTAAGGCTGTTCTAGTAGACAGACTTAGACAAGCTTTGGAGGAAGAGACTGGACAAGGTATGAATTCTAGTTTTATTCGTGAATTAACTTAAGTTACTTAGGATATAAAAGCCAGTGGGTGTCGACGTCGTACTCGGCGTAGGCTACTCATATAAGTTAGCCTACTTACCCCATAACTAACATTGAAATAGTCCATAACCCTTTCAGTGCTAGGCCTAGGCCAATAACTCGTATTTCCTAAGACTTTTTTGTTTACCTTTCAATTCCATTACCTGTTATTGAATTTTAGGTTAATTGTAATGTTGTCACTATTTTAACCCTCCAACTGGTCATTAAAATTTCCCGTACTGGTAAGGTTTTTTTGACCACCGGGCTGCACTTTACTTGACGTCCTACACTCATTCGATTGTTTTTTGATTCGATATTTTCATTCGATTGTTTCATTTGATATATCGTTTGGTTAGTTAGGTTAGGTTAACCCTCCAAGTGTCCATAGTTTAGGCCTTAATGTCCACCTATTTTTGGCGCATTTGCAAGGTTTTATTAAAACGGATCTGAGAAGCTTAACCCTCCCAGTGTTACTTGACGAAAATTCGGCAAGCACCACACTTTGTATAGTGTTACTTGCCGATTTTTCGACAAGCAGACATCGTTTACGGCGAAGGCTCTATAACTGACTGAATCGGATTGAACTGGATCGAGTTAGGTATCGTTCTTTCCGTTACATTCTAAGCTGTCTCCAGATGTCTGTCTCAGCGCTGTATTTTTCTCCTAGCCGATCATAATTGATGCAGACAGCTGACGTTCGTGTTTCAGCCATCTTGGTTATTTTACGTCGGTGCCTTGTGTGTTTTAGTACGTTTATCGTCGTTTTTAGTGGTAAAAATGGACAGTAGTGATATTCGTAATGCACTAAGTGAAGATATAAGTGATGTAGAAGGATTTGTTGATGATCCCGAAGAAGTAGGCAGTGACATTGATGTAAATTATCAGCCAGATTCCTAGCTATGGTTAGGCTATGCATTCTTAGCTAAACGGTATGTACTGAAATCTGTTTTTTGCCCATAACTTATTTATTTGCAAATCTACTTCCTTATATTATTATATAATTGTAATCCTCATAAAATTTAGAACAAAGTGGCTATTTTCAAATATTTGTAGGCCTATAATTTAAACAATTTCATTGAGCGCGAACTTATTTTTTTTGAAAATTTTCGAATTTTTTTTTTTTTTTTTACCTAAATTTTTTTTTTTTTTTAAATGTTCCTTATGTTTTATATATAATATTGAAGCCCATGATTTTCCAAACAAAATGGTATATAGAACATTAGAATTAACATTTTTTTAAGCTTCTCAGATCCGTTTTAATAAAACCTTGCAAATGCCCCAAAAATAGGTGGACATTAAGGCCTAAACTATGGACACTCGGAGGGTTAAAACAATGTTAATTCTAATGTTCTGTATACCATTTTGTTTGGAAAATCACGGGCTTCAATATTATATATAAAACATAAGGAACATTTTTTCAAAAAAAAATTTTTTAGGTAAACAAATATAATTTCAAAAATTAAAAAAAAAAAAAAAGTTCGCGCTCAATGAAATTGTATAAATTATAGGCCTATAAATATTTGAAAATAGCCACTTTGTTCTAAATTTTATGAGGATTACAAATATATAATAATATAAGGAAGTATATTTGCAAATAAATAAGTTATGGGCAAAAAACTGATTTCAGTACATAGCGTTTAGCTAAGAATGCATAGCCTAACCATAGCTAGGAATCTGGCTGATAATTTACATCAATATCACTACCTACTTCTTCAGGATCATCAACCAGCACTTCAAAACCACTTAAATCTTCTTATAATGCACCACGTATATCACTACTTTTGATTTTTAACACTAAAACAATGATAAACGTAATAAAACACATCAGTCATCGGTCCGGGGGAACCTAGCTGTTTACAAATACACGCACGTCAGCTGTCTGCTACAATATTTTCGGAACTAAAATGAATAGCGCTTAGAGACAGACCTCTGGAGAAAGCTTAGAATATTACGGAAAGAACGATAACTAACTCGATCCAGTTCAATCCGATTCAGTCAGTCATAGAGCCTTCGCCGTAAACGATGTCTGCGTGTCGAAAAATCTACAAGTAACACTACACAAAGTGTGCTGCTTGTCGAATTTTCGTCAAGTAACACTGGGAGGGTTAACCTTACCTAACTAACCAAACGATATATCGAATGAAGCAATCGATTGATCGAAATATCGATCGATATTTTCATTCGAATGAGTGTAGGACAACAAGTAAAGAGCAGCCGACCACATAAAGCATTTCGTAAATACCACATAAAACATATAAAATGGTACAAAAAACATACATATTATATAGGCTAGGCCTATATAGATTTTTTCAGAAAGGAATAAGTAACCTATTCAAAAATAAGTAGGCCTATTTCTGAACTTTCTGGACTTGGTAACGTTTTTAAACCATTTCTACGATCTTAATAAACAAGAAAATACCTTTAAAACATTAGGTATTTTAAGGCGCGGAAACCACTGCAAATTGCGAAAATATACGGAACTACTTTCTCAATGCGCAGCATATCGCTCTTGCTCTTGGGCACCTACCTATTTGTGTTGCCAGCTTATTAGAAAAGAGGGTTTAATAAGCGATATATTGAACCGCATCGAAATCGATATTTAATCCGATAGCTCACAGGTTATTTTATGTTGAATTACACCGACAGTACAGTAAGTTATTACACTTATTAATAAACTCAGATTGAACACTGATCTAATTTAGGCGTGTGGGGAAGGCAGGTCGTGGTTATGAGAATTTGTGGCTTCATTAAGTTTTTTGAAGTAAAGGTTAGATTAGGAAGGTAAAGTGTAGGTTATAGGTAATCGGGTCGTTTATTTGTGTTGCACCATATTGTTTTTTACCTTTTAGAATAGTTGGTTAAACGGGGAAACGATGCATTTAGAAATCGTTTCCCCGTTTAACTAACTATTCCAAAAGATAAAAAACAATATGGTGCAACACAAATAAACGGCCCGATTACCTATAACCTACACTTTAACTTACCTAATCTAACCTTACTTCAAAGGACTTAATGGAGTCACGAATTCTCATAAACCACGACCTGCCTTCCCCACACGCCTTTTCTGCTGTAAAACCAATTTATGTAACCATACAGCACGTTTGGTTAGGTTAGGTTAGTTTAGATTAGTTTCATTTTATTACAAACCTAACCCTATTTAAATTATGACAGAATCAATGGTCAGCTGGTAACCAAACCATTCTAGGAGCCCAAGAGAAAGTAGTACCCAGTCAGTAGTATCACTCCGCTCCTCGTTCCTCAATCCTCGGCTAGCGATGTGCTGCTCCGCCACTTGAAAATATAGTTCCGTATATTTTCGTAATTTGTAGTGGTTTCCGCGCCTTAAAACCATTGTTTTAAGGCGCGGAAACCACTAACAAAACAAACAAAACAAAACAAGAAAATACCTTTGAAACATTTTTCAAAGGTATTTTCTTGTTTATTAAGATCGTAGGAATAATTTAAAAACGTTATAAAGAAAAGTCCAGAAAGTTCATATTTACCCAAAAATAATAGTTTTAATGGTGTACTTACAAGTATGTTAACAGGTATTCCTCCTATGTGGGTAGGCCTACAGCAATATTGAAAAAAAATGTTTCTTCTTCTTTTAGTATATTATCTCTGGTAAAATATGTCTTAGCCTATATCAAAAAATAAGATAGCCAAAATGTTCACAGTTTCATTGTCTTTCCAACTATGTATAACACTTCTTGCTAGTTTATATAACAAAAAAAGTCTATAAAGCAAATATGTGACAAAAACACAAAGCACTTTTTCCGCACAAACACAAGACCTGCTGGACCTGTGCTGGAAACCACTGCCCCAGGCTTCTCACTTCATTTCACCATAAAAATATTGTGTTTTAGGCCTATATGTGAATTGAAATAATTTACAAAATAAAAAATACAAGTCTTAGAATCAACTTTGGACAAAGGAGCTAACCGTTTACAAGAAAAATTTATTTTCCCTTGCTCTCTTACCCCTCTTGGGTGCTCTCCAAAAGTGCTCCAACTTGTGAAAACAGCCTGGGTGCACTCCTGAGTTACATGCAGGGCACCAAAAATGACTCCTGGACTTTTTTTGTGGGAGTGGAACACACAACACACATCCTGAGTTGTACTCCAGGCAATCTTGTCAATACATGGGACGCAGAGGGTCCTGCATCTCCTCCAGGACCAACGTCTGGTATCTGAGCTCTTGGGTTAGGCACTGCAACATCACTTGATAAACTTTCAACGATGCTAACCATATAGTTGTATCGTGTCATAGGCTGGTCAGTATTTTTCAGGTACAAAATATAACTGTTTAGGAGAGCCATGTCCAAAAAATTTTCAAAGATCTTCTTCCAATATTTTTTTGTAGCTCTTGTGCAGGTGCTGTGATAGCCTATATAGACTTATCTTTGCTGTCCACACCACCCATATGAAGGTTGTACTCATTTATTAGGGATGGTTTTATAGCCTCTATTCCACTTTTTTTACGTTTTACTACACGGTCATCTGCGGGGTATCCAGTTGTTATAATGTAAACAGGCTTGCGTTTTTTCTTTTGTTTGTAGCCAACAAGCAGAACTCCTTGCTTTCTAAAATAGATTGATGTCTCAGGTTGTAATTTAGCATCTAAAACACTTTTGGAGAGTTCTTTTGACCGCTTGTTGACGGTACCGGTAATGTAAGTTTCATGTTGAAGTAACTTTTTGGCAAGAGGTAATTTAGTGTAGTAATTATCTGTGTACAGATGATATCCTTTATTGAGTAAGTAGCATTTATTTAGTAGGTGTAAAACTACCTTTTCTGTAAATGCAATACCTATCAGGATTTGTATTTTCAAGGAAGTATCTCCGTTAATAGTAATCGGATCTGGAAAAATCTTGCATATTCTTGTTCAGTTCACTCTACCGGTTAATTTGAGTATACACATGACTCATTTCCGCAAAAATTGGTTTCTTCGTTTTTCCGGGGAAACCGAGCTTTTTCGGCCGTATCTCCGTTAATATTAATCGGATCTTGATATTATTTGCATATTCTTGTTCAGCTCGCTTTACCGGTTAATTTGAGTATACATGACCCATTTCCGCAAAAAAATATTTTTTTCTGTTTTCCCGCTTTTCCGGGAAAATGACAATCATTTTTGAATTCAGGACGTAATTTAGCATAAAAATAGTGAACAAAAATTTTAGCGACACGTCTGTGATCGATAGATTTACCGACAATGTTTATGGTCTAACTTAACCCTAAATGTATTTGTAACACTATGTACAAAAACCTTACGTTGATCACAGGCAACAACACATTTAACTAAACTCACTAACCTACATTGCCGGTCTAACAGGTGAATACATTGCATATTCACTGCTACCTAAATAATAAAAAACATTCGTCTCCAAACATACAAAGTGGTACTACAGTAGGTACCTATTAAGAAAGTGTAAAGGGCCTAATGGTTAGGGTGGTAAAATAAGAAGGTAGGTATTGTAACTAGGTGAAACCACTAAAAAAGAAGACCTGAGTTTACCGGTGTTGGTAGAGGGAAGAAATAACTTTAACTTATTTGTAAATACAACCAGTTGATCCACTACCACGAAAGTTAAACAGCTAGACGTTGGCTCTCTTAAGTACAATAGACGACGTCAGTGCAGAAAGAAAACACTTTGATTGTTCGACTTCTTTGGGAACAGGCTCCGGGAGGCTGAATTTTTATTTCAGGACTAATATTGTCAGTTTTATTGAATTAGAGGTAGGCCTATTTATAATTTTATTTAATGAACAGAACTAATTTTTCAATTAGTAAACTTTCATTATATAGTCAATCAGAAGCCTCCAAATGACACAGTTGGCAAAATTAATCCTGAAGTACAAATCGTGCCTCCGGGAGGTTTGCTTTTTGAGTGATTTTGCCGCTTGGATCAGCGTCTCGTGCCGGCCTTCGATGTCACGAATCTCGGCATTTTTTTGTTTTTTCGTACATCTCGCTGACCAATCAGCAGGTGACTTGGTCTTCTTCCCGAATTGTGAAGTTGGAGAAGACTGAAGAGTCTGTCATTCTTGACCCGGGCTTCTCGTTTCGAATTTGAAGTGACTTGTTTAAAGTTTGTCGTACTAAGTTAACTTACCTCGTCTTGTTAAATTCACGTTGAAAGCTCTTCAAGTTAAATTTGAAGCGTACCTTCACAGTGTTGGGTTGGCTTATTAATTTCGTCGTTTGGTAAGTTGTGTAATAATTTAGGTTTTTGAATATTTCTCTGCCAGTTTTAGTTGGCAAAATTTTTCCAAAACTTGAGGGCTAGGCCTGACTTTCAGACTTAGTCCAATGTCCTTCAACTAACCAATTTAGGCCTAGTGGGGAAATTAAAGTTGGTGACTCCCGTTTTAAATTAACGTTTCATTAATTCGTATTGGGGCTTTTCTTTTAAGTTTTAACCTTTTTCACGTGCAATTTTTAGTTTTGTTTTTTTAAGTTTAAGAAGCGGTTTTATTTTTGTTTCCGTTTTTCTTGTTTCGTTTCTCACAGGCAAATTAAGGCAACTTACTTTAAACTCAAGATTCTGTGGGAACTAGGCCAGGTCTATCTTAAACTAACCCTTGTTTGTTGCAGGTTATAGCCAAAAAAAGGTTATGTAGGTTATGTTTGGCCAAAAAAAATCCATACACAATTTTTTACTAAAAATGTGTCTGGACTTTTTTACCCAACGGTAGGCCTAATTTTCTATTTTATATAATTTAACCCTCTACTATAACGCGAGTTCTCAGTGGCACTGGTCGATTATCGACCAAGACGACATGGGTTGGGTTTTTTCTAATACTAAAATATTTCAAAACTGTTTTAAAACCCAATAAATCTTATAGGTAGGCCTACCATTAGAAAGACGAGATTCTGAGGATTCATTTTCATGCATAAAACGGTATTGAGTGAGTTGCCTAAGTAGGCCTAGCGAAAGACATAGTTTGAAAAACTAGAGCCAGAGTTCAAAATAGATTTTGGCAGTGGAAAGTGTTGGTCACCTGACTACAAATGCAGCTAGCTGTTTTTGGCAATTGTCAATTCAATTGTCAATTTTTTTTTTTGATTGTCAATTTTTTCTCGGCACATGATTTGTTCTGATCATTGGTGATTTCGCTGCAAGTGACGATAACGTTTCCGCGCTTTCAAAAAAATATCGCCGGTGTTACGGTTGACGATGATGATGTCTCCACGATTGAGAGGGATGTTCATGATGATACCGCGTACCCAGGAGACGATGATGATATCTCCACGATAACACAAGACCGCAAGACAAGTCGAAGATCGCGCCGTGACCACGGGACATGTTAAAGCCGGTGCCATGACCACGGGACATGTTAAAGCCGGTGCCATGACCACGGGACATGTTAAAGCCGGTGCCATGACCACGGGACATGTTAAAGCCGGTGCCATGACCACGTTACATGTTGACGACAATAGGCCCTATCGTGACCGCGGGGCATGTTGACGACAATTTTGTGACGGCGGGACATGTTGTCGATGGTGTAATGCCCGTGGGACATTTTGACGACGGTGCCTTGACGAAGGGATATGTTGACAATTGTGCCGTGACCGTGGGACGGTAAAAGGTCTAGTAACATGGAGAATAAACCGAGTTTCTGGTTGGGTTGAAAAAAAATTGGTAAATGAAAAGTCGGGAATTTCATTTGAGAAATCTGGTAGACACCACGGTATGATAATTTTGTGGTTACATTTCTCAAAATAGTAATTGTATTAATATGATTGCTCAGCTCAATATTCAATATTGCAAGCAAACAACAACTGCGTTGGTATGTATGTATGTACTAAGTCACTTAGTAGCCTAACTTTGTACTGGTTGCCAACATACATACAGTGCCTACTTAACTGGAGTAGGTAGCAAAATTTGTCAATAGTCACTTTTTGTTTCAGAAGTACCAGATACTTCAATCGCTGAAACGTCAACTGAAGAAATAGAAGATAAAGTCGACTACTCTGAGGCGGATAAAGACAGTTCCGAGCCGGAACAAGAAAATACGCCGGAGTCTGAGGAAAACCAAGATCAACAGTCTGAAGAAGAGAACTCAAAGCTGGAAGAAGGCTATCAAGAATTTGAGCAAGACGATCCTCAGAAAGAAGAAGAGAATAATACTGAACTTGAAAGGTTAGGTAATAAGCCTCTTTTTGGCTGAATTTAATGTTTGGGCCTAATTTTTTTGGGTTGGGGGTCCTAACTTAACTTTCTCTGTAAACTTAAGTTACAGTCGGACAAGAATTAGATTTGAAACAATACCTCTATTTGAACTTTTGTCATTTGAATGTAGCTTTCATTGAAGGAGGCACAATTCATTAAAAAGTATAAAGTATATAAGTATACTAGCCGCTATACCCGTTCCTTGCAATGGGGTCAAGATGCGGAAGAGACAATTTTTGGTTCCTTGAAAATAATGGCATGCAGCTTGAGAACGCTAAATAGAACAGTTCTTTCGTTCCCTAGATCTTCTTTATGTAGATAGACTTTTATTAATTTACTATTACTATTAACTGTCTACATAAACATAACTGTAAAAAATCCATCATTGCATGTAGCACAGCTTTTTGCCTCTGCTTGATTCAAATTAGCTGTTGTCATACATTAAAAAATATAAAAGTGCTGCACCCTGTTGGTAAACCTAACTTTTTAATGCTATTGAACATCACAGAATGAAATTGTTTAGTTGAAACAGCTTTTAATATTCTTTAATTCTATTTAAATATAAGTACTCATAAGGTTAACATGAGGAAACTCCAAAGCCACTGGGGCGGAGCCGATTGGACGGATCACGAAATTGATGATGTATAAACCTATTCCATGAAATTCTACACGTATGTACCAAGTTTCGTGGCAATCAGTCCAACGGCGTCCGAGATCATAACGTTCAAACATACTCCTCTTTTATAAATATAGAGATTAAAGTATATAGCCCACCCTCCTACTGTATTTCCACGTCCTATACTTTTTTCTAACAAGGTCTAACCTAATATCAGGGTGTCTAGTAGTCGGGAAAATCGGGAAAGTCGGGAATTAGTATTGAATTTCAAAATGGTCTTGAAAGTCGGGATTTAGTCTTAAATTTGATTTAAAAGTCGGGAATTTTCATGATTTTGCCGCGATCGTCGTCTTGCGTTTACGTAACCGCAAAAGCCAATGATGATGTCTACACGGCCCCGGGAAATGTTCACGATTTTGCCGCGATAGTGGACGACGACGATGACGTTTCCGAAACCACGAAAGACGACGATGACGTTTCTGTGACAGCGGGAGACTAGGATGACGTTTCCGTGACCGCGGGAGACGACGATGACGTTTCCGTGACAGCGGGAGACTACGATGACGTTCCCGTGACCGCGGGAGACGACGATGATATCTGCTCGGCCGCGGGAAATGTTCATGATTTTGTCACAACCGCGGACGACGACGATGACGTTTCCGTGAGCGCAGGAGACGACGATGACGTTTCCGTGACCGCGGGAGACGACGATGATATCTACTCGGCCGCGGGAAATGTTCATGATTTTGTCACGATCGCGGACGACGACGATGACGTTTCCGTGACCGCGGGAGACGACGATGACGTCTACACGGCTGCGGGAAATGTTTATGATTTTGCCGTGATCGCGGACGATGACGATAACATTTCCGTAACCGCGGGAGATGACGGTGATGTCTAAACAGCCGCTGGAAATGTTAATGATTTTGCCGCGTTCGCGGACGACGACGATTACGTTTCCGTGACCGCGGGAGACGACGATGACGTCTACACGGCTGCGGGAAATGTTTATGATTTTGCCGTGATCGCGGACGATGACGATAACATTTCCGTAACCGCGGGAGATGACGGTGATGTCTAAACAGCCGCTGGAAATGTTAATGATTTTGCCGCGATCGCGGACGACGACGATGACGTTTCCGTGACCGTGGGAGACTACGATGATGTCTACACGGCCGCGGGCAATGTTCATTATTTTGCCGTGATCGCGGACAATGACGATAACATTTCCGTGACCGTGGGAGATGACGGTGATGTCTAAACAGCCGCGGGAAATGTTCATGATTTTGCCGCGATCGCGGACGACGACGATTACGTTTCCGTGACCGCGGGAGACGACGATGATGTCTACACGGCCGCGGGCAATGTTCATGATTTTGCCGTGATCGCGGACGATGACGATAACATTTCCGTGACCGCGGGAGATAACGGTGATGTCTAAACAGCGGCGGGAAATGTTCATGATTTTGCCGCGATCGCGGACGACGACGATGACGTTTCCGATACCGCGGGAGATAACGATGACGTTTCCGTGACCGCGGGAGATGACGATGACGATTCCGTGACAGCGGGAGACGACGATGATATCTGCTCGGCCGCGGGAAATGTTCATGATTTTGCCGTGTTCGCGGACGACGACGATTACGTTTCTGTAACCGCTGCAGTCAATGATGATGTCTAAACGTACGGTACGTCGAAGATTTCATGATTAAAAAACAAATTTGCTAGTTAGAATTTTTTATTGCTGCATTATTTCTTTACTTGAAAACACCACATTATCATAATACTAATTTATGACAAAGACAGGGGTTGGTGTAGTATTATTCAGAAAATTTGGTTAAGCTATAAAAATTGGTATCGGTATCAAGAATCGAGAATCGATACATTTTGGTATCATCACGCACTAATTGTTGAAAAAACTAGTCTTGAAAAATCTGGAATTAGTCTTGAAAAGTCTGGAATTAGTCTTGAATTTTATAATGGAAATAAACTAGACACCCTGTAATATAAATGTTCACTGGAATACCATCCTTATTCACAATATATTAAAACCGAAGTATTTGAAAACTGATATGGATGTGGTAAAATTACCATATTAAAAGTACAAAGTTTATCATAAAATCTACACTTTTACTCTTTTTGAACTCTACAATCAATAATTTTAATTTTATATTATAGGTTGTAATTGACTGTTTCTTGTATGTTTTCAGAGAGTCACCGCCTGACGAATCTCAGGAATACGGAGACCCGGAGAACACTTATGAATCAGAGAACTATGGATCAGAGGCTTATCAATCAGAGCCCGTAGAACAAGAACAATCAGAGTCTGTAGACAACCAGAAGATTGAAGAATCAGACCAGCCACAAGAGATTGACATGGAAAATGTCATTGTTAAACAAGAGGAAGAATCCACTGTAGACGAGTACAAACAACAAAACTATGAGGAAAAACCTGACGTCAGCTCATTACCGTATCAGGTAGGGTTCATTCAGTGGTTTGTCTTCTTTTTCAAATTAGGTTAAGGTTTGTTTCTGGGTCGTAAGGAGTAAAGACATGTTTCAAAGTAGACTGATAAAAAAAAAAATAAATAAATAAATAAAATTATATTCATATGAGTTATTTAGAAGCTATAAACTAGCTACAGTAGACTTCCTCTTATTCGGACACCTTTTAACCGGACATCGATTTAACCGGACTACACTCGGCGGAAATGTAAGACTCTTTACATTTTTTATGATTTGATGATTTGATTTGACTTTAACCTGACAATTTTTATCAGCACACTGGTTTAACTGGACTAGATCGGCAGGAAGTGGGCAGTACTGAAACGACTGTTCTCATGGGAAAGACTTAAGACCAGTGATCACGTGTCTAAATACAATGCTCTCCAAAATTTAAGTCGAATATCACAGTTAACAGTCAGTTTTAATGAGTTTTTGGGGACGTCGGTTTAACTGTAAAACCCGTTATCCGGACTGGCCTCGGTTCCATGGAGTCCGGATAAGAGGGGTCTACTGTATTTATTTATATACAACTAATTTTTGATACCTTGTCTACAGCACCTTTCACAACCCGGTGTGAGAGTGTATTAATGTACAATATGTTTTTTATCAAGGCCCATATAAAACGTAAATCGGCCCTCGAACATTTTTTCCAGTTTTCAATTTTAAACAGCTGAGTTTTCACAGCTTTTAGTTCTTGTGAGCGAGTCTCCTATTATGCTATACACACACATGGCTCAGGTGTTGATTATATTGGTGTTAATCAATCAATCAAGAATAAATGTGTTTAACACAATAATTACCAATACATAGGTTACAAAAGTTCATAAACCACAAATAGTTTGCCTGGACTAAAAACTATTTTTAAACAAAGCAGTATTGATAAAAACATCAATTAATTTGCAGGGATATGACAACGGTGATGACAAAAAGGAAGATTACGAAGCAGAAGTCAAGATGGAGCCTGGTGTAGAGGTGAAGGAAGAACAAGATGACCGACAGGAGGATAGGAAGAGAAAACGCTCCAGATGGTAAGAAATAGGCCGACTATTGCATGACACAATCTGTAATTTGGTTGAAAAGCTTTTATGTTGAAGCTTTGGAGTTTGTTTGATCCAAGCATTGAATTTGTTATTAACCTCCCTCTATCTCACATGCTCGTTTATTAAATAACATCCAATCAAAATATACTTTATTCATTATTTGCACTTATACATTATATTGTAAAGAACCAATAATTTTCTTAACTGCAGTACAATAATAAAAAAAATTATAAACTACACATCCGAGAGCTAGCCGTTGTAATTCCTTCTAGGCTGTGCCTGAGTGTTGTATGAATTTGTTAATCATATCGATTATAGAAGAATAAAAGCGTGTCTTATTTGGTATCGGAGTGTTCAAGAAAGTATGCTCATTCAATTCACATGTTCATGTTATATTTAGTTTTCCCCCGCAAAATTCTCAACAATATCTGTGCAACAATCAATATAAGTCAGCTGGAGGAAGTTTTTGATTTTGCTCATACATGTCTCGCTTGCTAGCCTGTTGTGTTCTTTTGTCATTCTAAGTTGTGTTGTTTTTATTTGCAAACAATATCAAATCGTGCTGGTTCCTTCTCTCAGAGATGATGAATTATCTGAGTCTTTTGGAAATGACAATCGAAGTGATGTTTTGGATTAGGAATTTGATTACAAGTTAGACGATCAATTTTATTATTGAGTAATTGCGGATGTTTGCGACTCATCAGTGAGTGTTATTGATAACTTTTTAAAAGAAATCAATCAATCCAATTCTCTGTTCCTTTTTGAAGTTGGATGATATTCAGATGATAAAAATGCTCATTTGTTGGCCATTTTTTCAGTTTTTGAGACAAAGTGTTTTTTGTTTGATTTCAGGAGCCCCCAACCTCAGCAAAAGCAAGGATGGGGCCAAAAACAAGATTGGAGTCGTAAGGATGATGAACCTGATTTGGATAATGATGCAATGGTTCTTGGCTGGTGTAAGTAAAAATTTGGTATCTTTATAATTTCAATTAAGACAGTACAGTTGTGGAAAGATAAACAACCGTAGAAACCTTGTAGCCACTGGCGAGCTGTAAATTTTGTCGACCGTAACAAAATTCTGGATTGATAACTTGTCTAGAATTTTTAAATTTTACTTAACAGATAAGTTCCGTGATCGCTAGAATATTCCAAGATTTTGAACACCAAAACTATTGAAATAACACAAGAAATTTGTAAACAATATCCTGATTTTTGGGAACTTAGATATAACAATGATCTATAGACTAATGGCTAGATAATTATTTTTCATGAGTAAAACAAACATTTAACTTTTTTAAAACAATTTTGTTAATAATTTACTAAACCTTCCCACCTAGTTCATTTAAACAACTTATTCATTGTGTATCTTGACTTTTGACTTAATCTGGAAAAGGATTTGTGTCCAATTGGGCACTGTTGCCAGCACACAACATTTTTTGTCTTGTGTCTCAGCCAGTGGCATTTTTTAATTAAGTCAATTCAAACACTTTATGGGAAAGCAGTCCAAATCCTTAAAAGTTTTGTGGATGTGCCACTCGAACCTGTCCCTCCCGCACCGTAGTCTGCGACACTACACTTCCCACTAGGCTAACAACACACCCTAGCCACCGCTGCTGTGTCTACTGCTCCATTGGCCCGAGTTCCATGAAGTCATGGGCTACCACATTGAAAGAAATATTGAACACATCAATTCCTAAATGTTTGATTGTGGGTGTTCATATCTTGTGTTCTTTGTTCATAGATGATTCAGACTTGAACCTGGAAATCAACAAAGAAGACTTCCTAGAAGCAGCTCCAATGAGTGTCCAAGGGTTCGGTTACATCTGGGCTGGTTGTCGAGCTACTTTTGGGTTCAATCAGGGAAAAGTCTGCTACGAGGTTAAGGTAGGTTTGTTTTCATTCTTTACAGATGATTTTTACATATTTCTGGCTTTAATACAATTTAGTCCTACTTAATTATTATGTGTGACAAATTGGAGGATTTTAAAATTTTAATAAGGCTCTCTTGATGTTACAAAAAGAAAAAAAAAATTAAGTAAGCCAGTAAAATTGTTAGTGACATAATAATGTATAAATGTGTAGTATTTATTGTGGCATGATTCTGTTGTTGAAAGTAAATAAGTGGTTTTGTCTTGTGTTTCAGTTGCTAGAGAACCACGATGTAGACCATCTGGAAGACGAGCCCAGTCCTCATGTGTTGAGAGTGGGGTGGTCCACAGTTGACACCGACATGATGCTAGGTAAAAATCATGATGGATTATGTATTTTTTTTACATTTTTTGATATTGCCTTTAACATCACTGCATGGTTTCCGTTTAAAAGTAATAGTAGTTTTTTAACTCTTTTTTTTTTGCTTATCCCCTCTTAGTCTTCTTATAGGTCTTATAAGTCTTAATGCTTATTATCCCCTCTTCTGCTCCCATTAACACATCATTTATTTATGAGGCTCTTTATGAGGCTGTAAAACTTTGCAACAAAACCACAGCCATTCAGGACTAATTATTTTAAAGGGGTCAAGTACTACAGTAAAATCCTGCAAATATGGCATCTGTTAAATGTTACCTGCCAATTTTCTCTCAATTGGGCAAGGTAAGGCATAGATTTAAAAACAGTCTCATCTGTTTATTTTACCTTAAGGCTCCATTTAACCGATATACTCAATATATTCATACTCATAGTAACATTTTTGTTAAATAATTTGTGTTCAGTTATCAAATAAAGCGATGAACTGAAGTCTTAAAAGTTCTAGATTATGTGTGTCCACTTATGTCACATAATATCCTAGGTAAAAGACCTCCGTAGGCTAAATAGTAAATAGCCTCAAAAGGGTGTTTACTTTTTTATTTCCTAGATATTTTAACAAACTACCACCTTTGACACCTTTTAGACACTATTTATGTTTTGACACTATTTATTTATGACATATATGCTACTTACAAATAAAGATGATTTGAATTTGAATTTGATAACTTGTTTGTGTAAAATGATATTTTACTTTAGACACTTGAAATTTGCTAACTGACTGTGATGTTATCAGAGTAACTGAGTAAATTTATCAAGATGAGTTTCAGTTGGATAAATCCCTGCTTTTTTTATTTTCAGGAGAAGAACCCAAGTCCTTCGGATACGGAGGAACAGGAAAGATCTCCACTAACTGCAAGTTCACCAACTATGGAACCACCTTTGTTGTTGGGGATGTGGTGACTGCCTACTTGGTAATATAAATTAACTTTCTTCTAAAACATCTCATTTTGAGAAATGCATGATGCGGTGTAACTCACAGTAAACTTGTAGGCATATTGCAAAAAAAAACGCAAATTACTGGTCGATATGGGTAGGCCTCTTTTACTAACTTAATCTACATTTAATACCATAGTTACTAAATTCATGGTAGTAGGCTTCTGCCTTTTGATGCCATTATGTGTTAATTCTTCAACTAAATATGCCTTTTATCTTATCTAGAATTACAAGCAGTTTTACATTTATTCAGGTTAACTGAAGAATTGTTCTTTTCCAAATCAGTTTGCATTGACTCTTTCTCTGTTAGATCACTCAATTCTTGTTAAATTGTAGTATCGTTTTAGATATTTTGTGTTCATTACTTACAAATAGTGATAACTGTACTGTACTGTCAAATAATTATGTTGAAATTTGAAAGTATTCCTATATTAATTTATGTTATGCTAGGTAACAGCAGAAACGACAAATTTAGTAACGTACTGATAAGACTGAACTCTTATGTTTAGAACTGTATGTCTAGATGTAGGCCATCTATTTTTTGTAACGGTAAATCCTTGTTTTTGAGCAAATAAATTAATTCTTTTTCTTTATTCTTTACCTATTTCCATAATTGAATCACAAAAAGAGTCTCATTGACTATCATACAAACTAGTGATGATATTTTAATGAAAATAAATTTCTAAAATCAACAATGGATGATTTTCTTTCACAGGACTATGGTGAGCGTGTAAAGATGTCGTATGCAGTGAACGGCCAATTTCTTGGAGACGCTTTTGACATCCCTTCGTCAGATTTAGACAACCAGCCGCTGTTTCCGCACGTTTTGTCCAAGAACATCAAGTTCCGGGTCAACTTTGGCCTCAGTGAGATCCAGTTTCCCGCAGAGCCAGAGTACGTGTGGGCAGCGAACGTCCCTGTGGAGCAGCGAGTGGCTGGACCACGCCGGCCTGAGCGTCGTGAGGATTGTGAGGCAAGTACCTACTCAAAAATTGGCAAGGTGGATACTAGTATTAGAATTATAAATAATTTTAGTTGAAAATATAATGATTTTATTATTGCATTTAAAGTAGGCACATTAGTTTAGGGAATGGTTTTTCAAAAATATTTAAATATATTTTCTTTAAATACATTTTAAGGGTCTAAATTGTGGGTTGTACTTAGAGTTAAATTTTCATTTTCCTTTGATTTTGGGGCCTCATTGAAGTCAGCTAGGAGGCTGTATTTAACATAGCATGGGATTGGCATACGTATCACCTTCTACAGAATAAATTATGTTTTGGGAATGTTTTATCAGTAGTTTTTAAAATAGTTTTTACCACAAGTTTTCTTTTGGTTGCAATTTTTATTGGAATGCAATGTTAGCAATAAGTTTCAAAGTATGCATTTATTCACAATTAATTGAGCCCTTATCAAGATAAATAAAGGGGTTGTATAAATATTAAAAATTCATTTTTTTATGTGCTTGGACTTGCAGATGCTGATGATGTGCGGACTCCCTGGGTGTGGTAAAACCACTTGGGCCAACGCCTTTGTAAAAGAAAACCGTGACAAGTTCTACAATATTTTGGGTACCAACAACCTCATTGACAAAATGAAGGTAAGCTCTGTCAAACTGCTGCTGACATTGAATTTAGTAACATTTTATAGGCCTATTGTAAACTTATAAAAATAAACTTTGCTATCTTTCTTTATTTTGTTTCCTGATCCCAAGAAATATATTTTCTGGGAACATCCTGGAAATCGGGAAAGCTGTGAATTGTATTCAAATTGACATGAGACTGGGACATTTTAGATGTTAAATAATCGCCAATAAAATCCACCACCAATCACCATTTTTCTTTTTCCCGTTGTGTCAAGAAAATCACAATGGTGGGAAATGATCTCGATATTATCGTGCTCGCAGAAGTAGCCATGATCGTAAGAAATTATCTAGGATGTCACTGCGATCATGGTAAACCAATCATGAGTGTTGTCACGATGATATTAGATGATTGATTATGTATGTTGCTGTGGTCGTAAATCATCATACTGATAATCATAGTACTGTTATTTTGTGAGAGAGACAATTTTGGATGGCAATTGTAGGTTTAAAACTGATTCAAATGTAACAATATTTTGTAGAATATTCACTATTATTCATTAATTTGTAGATCCAAGGTTTGCCGCGGAAGCGCAACTACCACGGCCGGTGGGACGTGCTCATTGACAAATGCACCAAGTGTCTCAACAAGCTGCTGGAGCTGGCTGCTCGTCGCCGCAGAAACTACATCCTAGACCAGGTACATTGACTAGCTTACCTCCACACCACTTGTGTGCTGTCTCGGCTAGGCTTGTCACACTACCTTAGAAACTAAGAGACATGACATTTAGGATGTATTCTCCTTGCAGAATTTTACTCAATCATTTTAAGCCATTTGAGGGTCACGATGGATAATGATTAAATCAGTATGCCGTAAAATAATTTAATTTAATATTAGCGTAGTAACCTTCATGAGGGACCTTATAGGATATGTATTAGTTTTGTGATAGTTTTAAGCTTTCTATGTTAGTAATAATTTCAATCAGCCATTATTGTTACATCACAAAAGGTACCGGTACATGAATTTCTGTGATAAAAAGTGTGAAACTATACATCTTAACCAGGATGGCCTTCACGTGAGAGTTTCAATGAACCTATTTATCTATAGTGTTTTAGCCAGACTCTTGACTAAAAATTTTAGTGGACTCATATACAATCTCTAGTACTGTTGATAAGTATTAATGCCTCCTTTAATATTATGATAAGTTAATTGTCTTGACACACTAGACCGCTTTCAAACAATCCGATGATAATACATCTTGTTGCTGAATATGTAGGATCCATGTAGGATCACATAGGACTTGTAAACAGTTGTTGCAATCCCAACAGGATAAAATTTGTTTGGCCTACCTTAGTAAATGAACATTGTCACATGCTGAAATAGTAGTATAAATCAAAATCAGGTTTAGGGTGTAATTCATTGAGTTAGTAAAAATACCAATTTAACAACATAGGTTATTTAAAGACAACCAAAAGTATACAATTTTGAGTTATATCTTTGTTATATCTAATCTTGTGGTATCTTAAGAATAGCTGGTAAAAAAATGATTGTTATTGTAGTGCAGACCCCTCAAGGATGGAATTCTCCATCTTTGCTGGCTTCTTGTATTTTATTTTGATATAATGCCTATCTTCCTTTTTTCGGTATGTAGTAAATCATGAAAGCTAACTCGAATCAAGCCAAAATAGACGGAGAAATGGTCAATGGTAGGGTGGCTAACAGTGTTTGAATAGGAAGTTATGGCAACCAACAATGGAACAACTTTACTGTTTCTAGCGATAGCAATTGCTTAGAACTCAAACTAAGTCTTCAGCCATGTTAGGCCCAATTTAAACTTAAAAGGTGTTTATCTCATATGAAATTTCATAGTCATATGAAAAATTTAGTTAGTTGATGGGACCCGTGCGTAAATGACCCGTGCGTAAATTGTACATTTTAATAGGGTTTATTACTTGTTTCCAAGGCAAAATGAATCCAATGAAATACCTGTTTACCTCAAATTAGAAATATACTAGTGGCTCGATCTCCGAGCCAAGCCAAGCTTGGCCTATATGCTCGAGAGATTGAGCACAAAGTTGGAAAATCAAGCTCTTACCATCACGATCGCCAAAGGCCTCTGCAAAGTTTGGATGGGAGAAAAATTCATGCTTTTGTCACAATCCCGGGTTACGTTGACAACGTTTCCGTATTCCAGGGAAACGAAAGTAATGTTAACACATCTGCGGGAGACAAAACTAAGGTTTGCTTTGTTACTCGTAAAAAAGAGGCAGTAGTGTTGAAGACAACTTTTGGTTTAAAACACATCAATAAAATTAGGGAATTCAGTTATCAATATAATGTTAATCATGTATTTGCCAACATAATGTAACACACATAATGAACACAATGTAATGTACCAATGTACTTACCATTTGTACCAATTGGTGGAAAGTTACAATGTGGTTTGAAGGGTGTTTTAGGCATAGTGTACTGTCAAGAACATGAAGAAATAACTCAATTCCGTTGAATCCCAAAAAGTTGGAATACTACCTATATTTTTCCAACCCTAGTGACCAAAGCTCTTAACAAATCATATTTTTTTACTCCTCGTTTATTTACCTCTTCCAATGAATATAAAACTTAAATACATTCACCAGTGTGAAAATATAAGTTAAGTAGCAGTCATATAAGTAGGGGTAGTTTTAAATTTCACAAGGACAATAAAATGTATTAGGGGTTTTGCATGAATTGTTAGATTAAGTAAAGCCAAGAACAAAATCACTTAGTGTTATAAATCAAACACGAGTCAGATATTGGTTATGAAATAGGATTTTAACCAATTAAAAACTACGATTTTACTATCTCTTATGGATATTCACATGGGTTTTGTTCTTTGCATGTTTAGTCTTTTATCCAGGTCTAGCTAAGTTTGATTTTACAATAATAGCCTATTAGTGACAAACAATTTCTCTCCCAGGACATTAATAGTAGTCAGTTTAATCATAGACAAATAGAATAAATATAGACCGTCAGCTGTGCTGCGGTTAGCATAAGTTCTGGCGCCCACCACTAGGTTTGACGTGTAGTTACAGCGCACACCGCTGCAGCGTCTGCTGGTCGCATACGGCTCCTGCGCTCCTCGACTGCAGCGGTGTGCGTCATAACTACACGGCAAACCTAGTGGTGGGCGCCGGAAACTTCCTTTGACAGTCTATATTTATTCTATTTGTCTATGGTTTAATCTCTGTCAGGTGTAAATATTTTGCTTATTCCATTTGAAGTTGTTAAGTATTTGGTGTGACAAGCCGCTGTTGACTGTACACAAGTTTTGTTGTTGTTTAATTGTACTACAGTCATGGGCATTATGGTGTGTTAGAAGTTAAGACTAGTCACTGGCCTTATGTCTTTATCTGGATTGTTAAAATTTGTCTAAATATATTTTGGACCCAATATTCCTGGATTTTTTTTATATGATGGATTTTTTTTATTATTGTTCCTTAGTTTGGTGTGCCTTTGTTAAATTCATGAAAAAAATTTTGAAGCGTTTGGAAAAAAAAAGAAAAGTTTTTGTTCAGTAACTTCTCGCATGGTTAAACATGTAGTTTTTATCCATAGAATTTTACCATAATGCCCATGAATATCTCCAATACCATCCCATTTGTTTTTTAATATGTAATACACAGGATGACGAGGTGAGTTGCCATTTTCAGGCCCAATCCGAGCACAGCGAACGATCAAGGTAAGTTTATAGAGCCTGAGTTTTCAGGTACATGGATTTTCACGATGACAAGGTAAATACTTTAAGGAGCTCATGGACTCGCTGTAAGCTAAGGTAGGTGTTTGTCCGTAGTAATACAATTTCAGTGGATGCCATGACTTTGATGGAATGGAGTTTAGGGTACATTTACTCCTTGGAAAACATTTAAATGGAAAAGAAGGGCATGCTATGGATATCTATCCTGTAGCAAAGAGTTTTCCCACTTAATTAGCATTGAATGAAATATGACAGGACGGTTCTATTGTAATTTATACTATCACATTCTGTTTAAAGGTAGAATGGAAAGAGAGAGGAAATTACAGTTGGAAATAACTTTGATGATTAAGAATGAGAAAGGCACAAGAAAGTGGTTCTACTAAACTAACAGTAAGATTGAGTCTGTTCTGGACTGTTCTCTAAACCACATATCCCTGATAGAGTATAGACCTTGACAATCCACCATTCTGTCTGTTTTCAACAGGCTTATTACAATATAATTCACAAAGATAACTTTACACAACAATACCTACGTTATTAAGATAGACTTTTTAAAACCGATATTGGATCGGATGGTTTAAAAACAGACTAGTATAAATATCACTCGTCTTTGGCTCTCTGAACCGTGATATCATAATTTAAATAAGCTTCTAGACTAGCCTTAAGAGTAAAATTAAATTAATGAAAAGTAGAATAAAGTACAACCAACGACATTTTTGTATTCAACTTCATCTGTTGGCCCGAAATATAAAACTTTAGAAAAATATTTTCAAGCGTTCGACGTACTATGCGGAACATAACAAGAACGTACCAAATAGTTTTTAATTTGCCTAGAATAATTACTTAAGTTAAGAGGAGAATGGGCCAAACCATAGTTATGACATACAAAAATAGAAAAGTTGGATTCACGGCATACAGCAATATCTATTCCACAAGAATACTGGGAAACTGTATTGCTGTCCAAACACTGGAATGAAAAAGGAAGGACCAGAATGTGAATTTTAAAAATTCCAAGATTTTGTCGGATTAGTTCTGCTATTTATGAGTAGGAATTGGTAATATCGGCTCGGAGATGGTTTGGTAAGTAGTAGAAAGTTAAAGCTAAAAAGGTTCTTGGCAGCAAGAATTTGCTCATGCCAGCCTTTGTAGGTGATAGTGAAGTTTAAGAAGTAATTTAGAAAATAAGGCATAAATCAAAACATGGCATCCACTGAAGATGTATTGGACAATAGACCCGTCAATCATGAAACCACTCATCTGAAATTAGGTTTAAGTTTTGTCGAAAGAAGAGATTACTTAATGATATGATGTGTGTAGACTTGTTCCTAGATGGTTCAAGTATGAAGGGGATGTTGTGTATTATGATGTTGTATAACTTTGATGGTTACAGAAGGCAAGAAGGTGAGTGGTCGAGGCCTCTGGTGAGCTCAGTCGAAACTAAGCTCACGTCAGAGGCCGGACACAAATGTTTGAAAAATCAACTATGATTATACATGATACACAGACGAATGTTTACCCGAGCGCTCAAAAACGCAAAATGCGCAACTTTGGGGGCTTCATTCGACGGGCGATCGTTATAGTGCCCAACGATGAAGAGTTTCAACGCAGGTGTGCAAAACGTGAAGCGGAGGAAGGAAAAGACATTCCGGACTCGGCGGTTTTGGAGATGAAAGGTAGCGTACTATCAGTCCTTGCATGGTTACTTCTATGTGTTTATTATTTATGTTGTGTAGTAAATTTTAAAAATTTTGTTTATTGGTGGGTTTTTAATTATTTTATCTGCTTAATATGTAATAGGGGTTAAAGTTTTTGTAAAGAAGGGTCTAAACTAGTAAAAAAAAGAATTCTTCTTTTTTTTGTTTGATTTTCTTTGAACTTGTTTTCATTGTACACTTCTTGTATAATACACCATTAATGTCGTTTGCGGTCTTGAGTTTTAATTGTAAGTCAATGTTCAGTGAGACAAAGAATCTTTAAGTACAAGTAACTCTAATAACTAATCATTTTCGTTTGTGATTCATATTACTGTAAATTAATGCTATTTTAAATTTAAGTAATATTATTATCAATCTTTAACAAATTTGGTGAGTTATTACTATTTTGGTTAATAATCATTACTATTTATTGCTTTTACTAACATAAGATGCTAGGCTAATACATTTTAGTTGAGTTAGTCATTTCAACAGACAATTTTGTTAGATAAAAGTTTCAAATAGGCAAGTTATAATATTTTGGTTCACACTTTTATAGATTTAACGCTTGAATATGCAGTGCAGTACAATAATTGACATTGACGTTTTTAATTTGATTCAATTGTCAATGATAAAGTTCTATGGATTTATTAGCCTACATATTTCTTTACCATTTTGGTTCGCTACCACCTTCATTTATCTGTTAATTTAATTTACTGTATGATGATACTAGGAGCTTTAGCGGTTGGGTATGACAAGAGTTAGAAGAATTAAGTCCTTTGACGTACTGTATTCCTTTTGTTTTCCACTTCACCATAAGAAAATTTGTAAAGAAGAGGTTGTTTGTAAGTGTAAACTACGCAGGTTGGATTATAATTGAACAATTTATCAGGTTAAATAATACAGTAATAGAATCACCAACAAATAGATTGTAGTAAAAGTAACTTACAAGTCTCACTGAATGTTTACTCTTTTAAAATAAAAGACCTCAAACATTTTCTATGGTTTGCTGAGCAAGGCGTAGAGATACTTTGATGATATTTTTTTAAATTAAATATAACCAATATGTAGTATTATACAATTAGTTTGTTGGTTTGAAAACTGAGTCTTAAATTGAGAGGAAATCATTTGTAGTTTAATTGTTGTGTAACTCTAAATTCACATCTGCTATCACCGATCATGAAAGTATCTCTATGCTTGCTGCAGTGTGTATATCGCTATAAACATTGTTACATTATAAACATTGTGTTTAGCCAACTTTCGGCTGCCTGAGGAAGGGGAACACTTTGACGAGGTGCGCTTCATAGAGCTAAACCGTGAGGAGTCCCAGCCACTGGTGGAACAGTACAACAAGGAGGGTCGGGCCGCAGGGTTTGGACAGCAAGCTCCCTTCAGCGGACAAGGGGGCAAGAAGTTCAGACCTAACGATAGACCTCCATTCCGAGGAGGCGGAGGTTTCCGTGGCGGACGAGGAGGTATTCACTCTTGATTCAGCCTATGATGATTCAAATTTCAAATTCTCAAGTAAAGTGTTCACAGCTAAAAAAAATTGTATTTACTCAATGACTGCCACTAACAATTGTTTCACGTTATACCTACCTAGAAGTTGCTCAGAGTAGTTAGGTTTATTGTAATTTAATCAAGTAGGTTTTAAAGCTGGCTAATCCTGAGAATACTGCGGATACTCCTCTTGCAATGTTTAATTTTGACATCAAACCGAGTATCTTTGCGATAGGTAATGTTCTAAAGGGTAAGCTGTATTTATAAAGGCTGCATAACTTGTACCATTGTTGGTATTAACTGTTGTTTGGCTGATGTTCACTTGCTGTGGTGTGTGGTTGCAGGTGGGTTTGGCATGGACAGGAAGGACCGTGGACCTGGTGGTCGTGGAGGGTTCAGAAGTGGAAGTATGGATCGTGGAGGTCGTGGAGGATGGGGTCCACGTGGTGGTGGCCCTGACCGTGGCCCTCCTCGAGGAAACTGGAGAGACAGGTCAGTTGAAACTTTCTCAATCTTAATATAAAACCATTGACTATTGGATACAGAAGTTGTTGTATTAATAGTCAAAAAACCCAAGCAAAAGTATTTTGTTAATGTTCTTTTTTGTAAAGTACATTAACAAAAGTCCTATTTACTACTTTAACTCCTATATTGTGAGAAAAATATTGAAATTATTATCAGTTGATGCATTTGTAAATTTTGTGTGTGCTGTTATCTGCCCAGAACGGTTTTATTGGGTGGGTTGTCTTAATCCGTCTCCCAAGTTTAGTTCACAAGTGGGTTTCATTCAATCCATGGTATCGAGGAAAAATCCTCAATCGAGCTACTTTGAAAGGTTTATGTAAGGCTCTGAAGTACAAAATAGTCTATTTAATAAAAACATTCTATCTAGTAGTGTCTTGAGTAATATAGATTTTTATTTCTTGTTGATATTCAAATGATATAAAATATTACTGATCAGTTTTTGAATGCTAACAGAACTTAGTCAAGCTCTAGATTAAACCTGAGGGTTTGACTGTATTCAATTCCCAGTAGTTGGTAACTGTAAATCTTTTACTTATTTTAACTTTTTACAATTTTGCTGAGAAATTGCTTACTTACATGATGTTATGTCTCTACAGAAGTCCGTCTAGTGGTGGATTTGACAGAGACGCGGACTCCCGTCCTCCCGGTGGTGGTCCATGGAGGAACCAGAGAGGAGGGGACAGGGATAGACCTTATGACCGTAACCAGAGAGGTGGACCTCGCGGTGGCGGTAACTTCAGGTAACTGGTTCTGACTCGTAAGAGTTTGTTTTATCCCAGCGGCAAATTAATTTTTTTGTGTGTGTTTATTTGCAAACTTATTTTATGAAACAGCCTTTTGAAAAAAATATGCATCTGAAGAACAAATTTTATCATCCATATCTACAAGTGATTTAAGAGTGTGATACTTAAATTTTATCTGAATAACTGTTGTATATTTGATCTTTACTTTAACTATATAAAATTATAAGGTTAACAAATGTATTTTACTACAGTGTTGTGATAAAACTGTTGTGAATGTAGAGTATTTGAAATTATTGTTTGTAGCTGTAAAATTGATCCGTAGCATACATTTTAACTAGCCAGCCCTACATGAGTATTTTAAAAGTTTTTGACAATCCTAAAAAAACACAACATTATAAACAAATTTAATTAGGCTAACCAAAAGTTTAATAACAATAAGTTAATTTTAATAACAACACAAATGCTTTGTGCTGTTTGTGAGTGAAAACCGTGAGGCTGGCTGCAGTCAGACAAAAATCTGCTTCCAATGTAGGTCACGCCTAATTAGGCCTACTCATATATATTTTACACTCAAAACTTATTTCACAATTAACATTTAACATTTACTGTTGAATGATGTAGACAACCCTTTGGCTAACGGTTGGTAATGATGTTCCAGGGACAATGACTACAACAACAGAGGGGGAGGTTTCCGAGACGGAGGCTATGAAAGGGACGACTACCGAGGTGGTGGTTTCAACAGAGACGAAGGCTTCAGAGACAACCGTGGAGGGAGAGGTGGACGAGGGGGCAGAGGAGGAGGCTTTGACAGAGACAACAAGGGAGGACGCGGCGGCTTTGACAGGAGCAGAGGCGGCTTCAACGATAGACGTGGAGGTATGCAAGGCGCAAGGACATCTAATGTACAGAATTTTGGTTTCTAATAGGGATGGTCAAGTCTCGAAATTTCGGGAAATTTTCGGGAAATTTTAAATCTCGTTACACGAGACGAGACTTCTTTTTGGCCGAGATTTTTATCGAGACGAGAATAAAAAAATAAAAAAATTCAAAACGCCTGCAGAAAGTCAATGCAATACCCGTGCAATACAAGAGCGTCTTGTAGTTGCGTTTCCTTTGCGAAGGCGTTCTTATTTAATTAATTCTTCAAATGTAAATATTACTTTAATTATTTTAATAACATTTGAGAAGTTTTGTTAAGTGTTAGCAGTGTGAGGAATGTTTTATTACTATAAAAAAAGTCAAAACAAGTAACTATTTTATAAAAATTAATATTTTTTTTATGATTTATTTTATTTTAGGATAAGTTGAACTCTATCCTAACTGATATCACTATGTTTCCTAATCGTAGGCATTTTTAATAAATTAGGCGTGATTAATAAAAAAATGTTATGCTGATGTTTTTTAATACAAGATTGTAAATATTCTTGCCTATTATCATTATTTTTGTATTTAAACAGTCATCTAACAATGTTACAAAATCAGGTAAAAATTCCGAACGTGCATTTACCGTTGTCTTTAAGAAGGGAAATCCCGTCTCGATCTCGTCTCGAAATTTTATGAGAAATAAAAAATCTCGTCTCGTCTCGAACTAAAAATCCAATCTCGTCCATCCCTAGTTTCTAATTTTGTGTATTATTTGATATTCATTGGTGAAAGCTTCAACAAGTGATCCAGTGGCACCTAAATCTAAATTACTACTTTAATTCTGATAAGAACAGAGTTCAGCTAACATACCTGGAAAATGGAAGAGTCCATAAGCTATTTGATAAGAATGTACAACTGAAAGGTCTTAAACATCAATACTACTCGTACTCTTATTTCGTGTTAATATAGCAGAGGTTAGATTCAACATAATATTTTCCCATGGCTAATACAGTAGACTCTTGATTATAAACATTACATACAGTAGAGTCCCGCAAACTCGGCACTCGATAACCCGGCAGTCTGGATAACTCGGCCATCACCTGGCTAAGAAAATTAGTGATTTTTTGAGTCCGAGTTAAACATGGACACAAGCCAGCTCAAGTATAATCATTTGCAACTCGTACTAAGGATTTGTTGTACTATATCTGATGACTTGAACTATATCTTGAAATATAAATCTAATTTAAAAAGGTGTTAAAAAAGCTTAAAAATTGTATTGTTCTTGTTTTTAACTCTAGTTCCCGATAACCCGGCATTTCACAAACTCGGCAACCTTCCAGTCCACATTACGCCGAGTTTGCGGGACTCTACTGTATTACAAAAAATTTAAATAAAAAGTTAATGTTAATCATGGAAGTTAAATGTACCGTACATTTTACAGTGAATCAAGAGGTTTAGAGTGAGAAGGCCCATCATCTCGGGGGCAGACTATAGAGTTGCCGTTGTTTACTTCACTGGTCTTAAAGATATCATCTTAGTCTCACGTGGTCACAAAAACAACATAATCTTTTACCGCCATTGCGGAAAAATCATGAATGTATTCCTCGGTGAACATCATCTTCGTCTACCGTGGTCTCAGAAACAACATCACCTTTCCCGTGGTTGTGGCAAAATTGTGAATATCTTCTTCGGTCTTGTGTATCATCTTCGTCTCTTGCGGTCACGGAAACGATGTCAAATTTGTGTGCAGTTGCGTCCAAATCATGATATATTCTTTGGGCTTAAACACATCATATTTGTCTCCCGCGATTTGGAAACGTTTTATTTTTCCACCATTGCTTCCAAATCAAGAATGTATTCTTCGGTCTTAAAGACAATATCATCTCCATATCCCACAGTGACGGGAACAAAGTCACATTTTTTCGCGATTGTTGGGCGCTGACAATCGGATCTCAGCACCCCCTGGACCTCATAGCCCTTGGGGGTGTTATTTACGCCCCCGATCAGGACAAAATAGGCTTTTAGTTTATATGTTTTGAGTTCATTTATTGTGTATCCATTAGCCTCTAGAGACTATTTCTTAGGTAAGCTAGCTGAACTTGTCTTCTTTGTAAAACAATTAATTTACCTGTTTTAGTTACTTTGTGTTTGTATAAGAAACTTAATTGAGTAATGTTTTCAGGTGGAAACAGAGATGGGTTTGACCGTAACAGAGGGGATAGAGGCCCTAGAGACAACAAGGTAAGTTGAATCAGAGAACACTTAGGTATATTCAATAAAATTGTTTCCAATTCATCACCTATTATTTAAGTAGTTCTGGAGTTGTAACCTTTATTCGAGTTAACTGTAGGCCTAGATGTATTATAAAAATCTGGTATTAAACCATTGCCCAAAAACTAATAAAAAGTAAACCCATCAGAAGTTAGTACAAAAATAAATAAACACATTGTAACCTTGTTGTAACAAGATCCTCGATAACACATCACCCTTTATAACAAGTGTCATTTTCTAATCCCCTTGAATTTTTATCTTACCCCTAATCCCATGTTATTTTTAACCTGGATAAGAAGTCGATCTTGATAACAAGTCTTATTTAATAATCCCCATGAGAGTCTTGTTATTGAGGTTCAACTGTACCACTAAAAATCAACAGCCAACTACTTGAGATGAATACTCCTACATACACTAAATTAGAAAGATCGAACGTCATTTGGTAAAACTAAGAATAAACATGTGCTAAAATGTGAAAAATGTTCTCCCAAAAATATGGACCACTTTGGTCCAAGTAAAATGAAATTATGTGTCAAAGTGGATAAGCTATATATCAAATTGATTTGCAGGGTGGAGCCGGCCAAGGTGGAAACCAAGGCAACCAAGGTGGTGGATGGGGCAACCAGACCTACCAGGGAGGTTGGGGCCAACAGGGATACAACCCCCAAGGCTACAACCAGGGCTACAACCAAGGTTACAACCAAGGATACAACCAGCAGGCCACACCTCAGCAGGGCTGGGGGCAGCAAGCTTGGGGTAACAAAGGCAAGGGACATAACACTTGAACTTTTATTTGGTATCTGATAGGGAGGTGTCAGTTCTCTCAAAATCGCAAATATATTGTATTCGGTATTGAGAAGGTAAAAAAGTCAATACTGATACCATATATACCTATAAGATCGGGTAGTTGTAAATTTATTGCTTTTACTGTGATTGTCCATGATGACAATGGTGTTTCCATAACAGTGGGAGGTGATCAGAATTTTACTGCAATCGCTGGAGACTATCAGGGTTTTGTCACAATTGCGAGAGACAGGATGTATAGACTTGATTCTTCAGATATTGTTATGAAGGATCGATAAATTGTTGTGTCGACACATCACTAGTATCTTACAAGGCTTTAGGTTCGTTTAGATATCAACCTACAATTTGGATCTATAAATCAAAATTTATTTTCATACTAGCCGAGATTTTGAGTTCAGTTTTGCGTGAAGACAGCAAAATTATTAACATGATGATCTTTGGATGATTATGTTTAAGATGTTAGGGTTCATGAAAATTATGTCTTCTTAAATCCAATACGTACTGACTTAGAAGTCCTTATTTGCATGTACTGCCCTTTAAAAGGATCTCAATAACTTATTTTTACTTTAATTCAATAATAATTGCTATCAGCCACGTTCAATTACTTGTTATGTTTAAAATATGACAGATTATATATCTCTTACATAAATTGATGAATAATTTTCTGATGTATTTATAGCTACTGGCCAGCAACAACAGGCTGTAGCGGCGACTGGAGCAACAACAACACCCGCCGCAACTGGTTACAATACAACCGGTTACACCCAACAAGCAGCCGGTTACAACCAAGCAGCTGGTTATCAGGGCTACTGGGGCCAGTACGGCTACGGACAGGGCTGGACGCAGGTCAGTGAAGCATAAATGTCTGAACACGGTGAAGTTGTGCTTGTATGTGTGCACTGCTGCATCGCAATTGTTTCTAACTGGTTTTGGATGTTGGACGCATTTGGGATAAATGAATGTCTTCAATAATATTGTCAAACCACACACTGATGTTCAATAATTTTATTAACTTTATCTAAAAATATTCTTGAAAAACATTCAAAAATGTGAGGAATCATACAACTTTAGTTTGTTTGGATCTGGCTTATTCAAATTCAAAGTTTTGACTGAGATAAACATCTTGTAATAGTTTCTAGGATGAGCACTCAAGTGACTCTTTTTTGATAAAGTGCCACAGTGGGGTATAATGTAAGACCTTGACTGCAATAATAAAAAATATGTCTAAGGAAGTTGTCTCAAATCACAAAAAGAATTTGAAAAGGTCTGATGTGAAAGGCCTTTTTCTCCAGTCTACGATTAAGCCTTAGATCTGAATTGTGTAACTTAACATTGTTCTGTGATTTAATACTAACCGACAATTTGCCAAGTGATGTTTCTTCCAAAATGTAACTAACCAAGGCATGGTTTTCAAATAATGATACTAGTGTAAATGGATGGGTAAAGAGATCCTGCGCTAGGTAGAGAAGGATTTAAAGTTCTAAAACAACACTTCATCATTTAATTAGAGAAGAAGAAAAATCACAAACAAATGTAAACTATGGCACACTCAATGTCAATCGAGCTGAAGGAAGTTCGATTTCAATACAATTGTTAATGTATATTTGTTTATATGAAATTGCAAACCAGAACTCAAAAATCTTCACGAAAAGCAATGAGAAATCCTTCATGACGAAATCATTTTGCATGCTATTAAAAAGGCTAAACACGGTCCCAATCCTGTATTTTAACCGTCCGATTTTCGCAGGTTCCCAAATAAACAAACCTCTGCAGTGATGCTCGTAACCGTTGTACATACAGTAAGTAGTAAATAAATTTGCTAAACAAGTAATTAAACAAACTGATACAATAACGTCTAGGTCCTCACTCTAAAACGATCTAAAATCTGTCTGAAAAGTTTAAAATAATGAATGGACGACAATGAAGATACAAAGGATTCCTGGAGCTGGCCTTGAACCAAAACTCTGACATTACAGATAACACAGACTGTTAAATTAAATGTGTAACAAAAAGACAAGGACTGAAATTTAATCTGCACTTTAATGTTTTTTGTTAGGCTAACCTTTTTAATCAAACTTAAGGTGATAAAACAAATCTTGAGTATTCAACCAAAGTCTTAATCTGGTGGACTGTCCAAGCAATCTTACAAGTTGTGAAGTGTAAGGAACAGTGTGACACCTATACTAATCTACGAGATGAGAACATAAATAATGGACAGTCCTCAGTTAGCTGGTTATTACCTCGGGCTTTCCGAGTCGAATGCTCCGATGAGTCTTGCCAACTAACGTAAAGGATAGTGTCTTGAACTAGCCTGCTTTTCCTTTAACATTTTTGATCTACTTGCTACATGCCTGTAACATGTAAAAAGGAAAACACCAATGAGTGTTGTGTTGCCAACTGGGCGTGGTACTGGAGCATGAATGGTTGAAATATGGAGGGACATGTTAATTATTATTACAGGGGAGAAGCGCCACCTAAGCCCAGGAGCTGTAAGTACAAACTTATTTTTTTAAATATTAAGTTATAATATGACTGATGTGTAATTGAAACTACGCCAGTTAACTGGAGTCAGACTTGCTCATGAAATGGATGTCAAATATACAAAAAAATGTGTTATGTCAAGATCTAACTTCCTGATTTAATTTTACAATTAAATTCAACATCCACACTCAAAGCAAAGGATGAAACCCTTGTTTCTTCCCGACAAACACATTTATTACAATACATTTTGAGGAACCTTGCATTTGAGGAAGCTATTGTTGGAAATAGGCGGGTGAAAATTAGCACAGTTTTCCTCAATAATCCAACATGGCATAGGTCCCAGTACAAGAGTCTTGCGTGTCTATCCATTTAAATAAGTCTACAAGCAGTCACACAACCAACTAGCCACAAACTGAGGCGCTGTTCATAGCTAAAATCAAGATCATAACTATTTTACACTAAATTTACACTCAAAAATTATTGCTAATTAATATAATCAATCGAAGAAATAGCTAAATATGATCTGTCAAATTAATAAACATATTGATAGCTATGAATGATTGTTTCCCTCACGTGTTTGGGAGAAAAGTCGTGAATGAAAAGTTCACATTCTAATTTGACAGTAAATTTGTTGTTACCAACATGTATTTTCCTAGAGACATCCTATAGTATATTTTGTTGTTACTAGATGTATTTCCTCATTCAACATATTACAATAACCCTAATTTTTTCTAGAGAATTGTCTTAAAATTCACTTGATAGTGACTGAAATATATTTGGGGATGTGACAGATTAGCGTCCCTGACAAAGTCTACTAAACTAATAATTAGTTGTCTTGACTAGTCATTGTTTATTCTTTGGGTAGGTGTAGAAAACTCTTTAAACAATAACAGAACAGAAAAAAAAAATATATTCAAATGTTCTTAGTATTTTATGATTGTGGTTTGTTACAGAATGCTGACGGGACCTACTCATATCCGCAAGGGTGGCAAAACTACGGCTACAACTACGGGACAGCCATGACTCCTGGGATGACGGCTGCTGCCACCCCCGCAGCGACCACTGCTACCCCTGCCGCGGTTACAGCTCAGACCCCCGCAGCCAAGTAACTATGTACCTGACACCCCGACAACTAGTGTCTTTGTCAACAAGCTTCTTTCTCTTTGTAGATTCTATATTTATGTTAGTATTAAAGCCTCGGTCATTCGACATTGTATAACAGTTCACCTGAATGAATTGGATGTTGATGTGAATGTGCAATTGAAGAAGTTTATTAGTAAATTTAAAGTGTATTTTTACAATGTTTATGCATAAAATTTTTGTTTTTAACTAAACAACTTGCTGTAAGTTAATATAAGAAAGTCTTATAATTTAGATTTTACACAATGATTTTGTGATAAACTGTTATGCAATGTGTTTGTGTTAGCCTGTGCCCAATCCAAGGCTATTCTGTTTATATTTTTATCTTATAAGTTTTGTACAATAAAGATTGTAATTGTTTTAAATGAGAAACTAATTTTAATCGTGATTTATGAATGAGACATGTAATTTTTAATAAGGTATGACAGATTAAAGTGATTAAAATGCCAATGGGGTTCGTTTTTTATCTTTCCTTAAAGTGTATATTATTTATAAAATCCTACTGTAGTTTATGACGTGTAAAATTTAATTTTCGGCATACCGCAGCAAAAACAGTTGTATTTATACAAGTGTTGCTGGTCTAGATCTTTTTCGTTCTTCGGGGTAAAAGTCAGCGGTTGTTAACACAGTTGTAAACTTAAATTGTAAGCAATCACATGTATTGATTGCTTTGAATTGGTTGTCGCTTATTGTTGCATTCTTGTCAATAGTTCAACATATCAATAGTATAAATGTCTTAACACAATTGTAAGACAGAAGGGTTAAATCACTCACTAAGTAGCAGCTTGTGGGCATTAGCAAAATTTTTTTAGATATCTATAAATTTTGGTATCAACACATCACTAATTGTTGAAAAAACTAGTCTTGAAAAGTCTGGTAAAAGACAGTACTCCGAAAAGCAATTTTCCAAAGTGATATACAGGGTGAGTTTTAATTGTCCCCCCCCCAACTTTTTTCTACATTTTTTCAAATATCAATCCCAGACCACTTCCAAACATTGTTGGTTAGCAAGTACTTCATTTTGACTAGGTGGTCATTTCCGGCCGCCATCTTGGATCCGCCATATTGGATGCAAAATATTTTTTCAAATGTAAAGGTGGGGTTGTGACCCATTATTTCCAACTAGATTTTTACCCTGATTACAACGCCACAAACCGTTAAAAAAAATCTTGATTCATTCTAAAGTTATGAGGGCTTTTTAAAACTTTATTTTTGGCCCATTTTAACATTGTGCATATACAAACTAAGACCATAATCTCAAAATAGTGCTAGATAAAGTTAAGTATACACTACCAGTCATTGTCGACCTATTTTCACTTGGTTATGACTGATGAATTTTTTTCGGCCGCTATCTTGGATCCGCCATTTTGAAATGTGATAAATTATTTTAAACATGAAGGGGGTGTTGTGACCTATCATTTCAAACTACTTTTTTAAGCTAAACTCAATTCCATGATCCGTTTTTCATGTTCATATTTTGAGTTTGAAATATTGACATTTTTAACAAAAATATTGCAACATTTCATAGATAAAACTTGATAACAAAAAATGAATTGCGGCAACAATCCAAAAATGATAGGTCACAACACCCCATACATGTTTAAAATAATTGATCACATTTCAAAATGGCGGATCCAAGATAGCGGCCGAAAAAAATTCATCAGTCATAACCAAGTGAAAATAGGTCGACAATGACTGCTAGTGTATACTTAACTTTATCTAGCACTATTTTGAGATTAAGGTCTTAGTTTGTATATGCACAATTTTAAAATGGGCCAAAAATAAAGTTTTAAAAAGCCCTCATAACTTTATAACGAATCAAGATTTTTAAAAACGGTTTGTGGCATTGCAGGGTAAAAATCTAGTTGGAAATAATGGGTCACATCCCCACCTTTACATTTGAAAAAAATATTTTGCATCCAATATGGCAAATCCAAGATGGCGGCCGGAAATGACCACCATGTCAAAATGAAGTACTTACTACCCAAAAATGTTTGAAAGTGGTCTGGGATTGATATTTGAAAAATGTAGAAAAAAGTTGGGGGTGGACAATTAAAACTCACCCTGTATATCCAACGGATATATCCACTGAAACTCTCGAATTTTGTCTACAACAATACTTTCTCTAATATACTATATGGTATAGGAGGAAAAAGTAAAATACCACATTTAAATTAGTTAGTCATTTAGGGACTTTTGTTATACTGCATGATTAATTTTAATTTTGTATTTTTGCAGATATTGAGGAATTTATTTGTGCCGGGTTAAAAAAAAAATGTTATTCCCCTCCTTGATAAAATAAATACTTGTTGAAATTTACTAAAACTGTGAGTTTACTAAAGTGGAATCTTCTTATATTTACTCTGAATTTACAGACCAAATTTATTGACGTCAAATGTTATTTGAAGGAAACGATAAAAAATGATCGTCTAGCAAGTCTGCAACAGAGTAAGTTTGCGATTGATGTTTGCTCTCAACCAGAGAAAAGGACGAATGTAGCCCTCGGGAAATAAGGTGTGACACATTGAGTAGTTGTAGTCAATTGTACAGCTTGACACAGATTTAATGCAAGGTTACTTTTTGGCCAATAGCAAATATTTTTTGAGTAGAAATGCAAGCTTGTTATTTTTTAAGTATGTTTGAAGCCAAGCTCAATTTGTTGAACAGTTAGTTAAATTTTTAAGTTTTATCTTTGGGAAGGTTATAAAAATTACTGATCCAAACAATAGTATTACATTCCTCAAAGTACATTGTGCATTGTTGTTATTCTTCAAATTTATAACCATTGTGTTAATTTTCTTGGAAACGTTTAGTGCAAAGTTAACATCACAAACAGCAGTTTTGAATCAACAGAGCGTGAAGGACCTGTTAAACATTCAAAGTCAATTGTTTCTGCAACAAGTGTAAAGGTAAAAAAGATTCTTTTGTCATGTATTTTGCTATTTTTCCTTACCTTGAATGAATTTAAAATAAAGTTAGAAATGCACACAAGCGGTTTTAATGAAAAATCACCATTAAAAATCCAAATTTCAAAATGAAAATTACAGTACTAAATTTCATCAAAATCAAATCATAGGTTTGGTTTAGTAGCTCTATTCACATCCATGAACACTCACATGCAGACACCACTTGAAAAGCTACTTTTTTGGGTTCAGGGGACCTAAAACATATCCATTCAAAGCTTAAACTAAAAAATGTTGACCAAAACAATAGTTGTGTTTTGCATTTATTTACTACTAGCAGAGGACCCGTCCTTCGTCCGGGGTTGATGTATGTTTAAATGGTGCTTTTTGAAATCTGACATGAAAAAAAGAGAAAAATAAGATTAAATTCCAATAAATGTACCTATCCAAAACTATTAACTTACTAATTACATAAAAAAACATTTTCAAACAATAAAACTAATAAAAAAAACTCAAAGCTTTTACTTACTTTTAAATGATAAAATCAAACATAGACAAACAATAATTTACAACATCTGGTTAATATTACGGGTTGAATTATATTAAACATGTGATCTTGTTTCTAAAAAGCATTGCTCACTAAGCATTGATTATAAAAATATCGCATTATATACTATGTGAGCAAACAAAAACATTAACTCTCTTACTACTAAAACAGTACAGAAACATACTTAGCCCTATTATTTATAACTCCTACTGTTCATGTACCAAAGGCAAGTGCATATAAAACTTAGTTTTTTTTATTGTTCTTTTTAAATTGAAATATTTGTATATAGCTTAGAATTAGGAAATTTAACGTCATTCAAACAATGTTTATGTCAAGAGTCGGTTAAGTTAAGAGGAACTTGGTTGAAAATTTACATGTAATGACCATGGAACGCTCGTAAAAAGTTATTCATTATGAGAATAGAATGTGAAATCTACAGGAAGTGTTAAAAGTTATACCAGTAGCTACCACTGGATTAGAAAACATCACAACTAATCTATAGGTAGTAATTAGGAATATGAAATTATTATTTAAAAATGTGTGAAAAGGCAAATGGTGTGAACAATATTTCTCTCAAAATGGAAAAAATGTACAATTAATTATCTCTTTGAGAAAAAAAGTTTCAATTTTTAAGGTGTGTGTGCCCTACTCTAAACGCAATTTAAGTGTTCAAAAATGTTAAAATGATTCAAGTAAATGTGACTTTATAATTTTACTATTTTTTACACCAAAACCTTTCAATACAATCATTCACATTAGCGAAATTTTGAATAATTAATTAGGGTTAGATACAACACCAGATATACAATCTCACTTATTTCATTAAACCAATAATCAATGAACCATCAAATATAAGAATAAATAAACATGTCACATGATTGTAGAGAATATTATATGCCTATTTATAAACCAGCTGTGGAATTGTAAATTAATGTGGTTTGACAGTTCAGCTTATTTACATTTGGGTGGGATAGAAAATTGTAAACATTGTGTGTGTTTTAATGGCAGCCATGGAGACCAATCAATATTTACTTTTAAAATCCTCACCTCAGAACTTTTAAAGCCAAAGGGGCAAAGCCCACGGTCAGTATCAAAGTGTGAATAGTCCTATAATGGTCCTTGGTATGGTAGCTATACTTTTGTAAAATTTAAGCCCAGTCAGTTCAGTAGTTTATGTGCCTATTAGTAACACACATACAGACAGACACCACTAGATTTTTATATAATAGTATAGATGTTTAGGGGGAAGGGGAAAGTGGGAAAGAGTATTTATAAGATTTAGCAAATGTACACATGAACTAGTGCTAATTATATTAACTAGGGTACAGTCATGAACTATGAAAAAGCTACTGACAATTAATTCTGATAATTGAACAGCTGACTCACATCATCAGCACTGTAAACACTACTATTTAAATTTTTTGTTCTGATCGTGATAAATGATAGCTATTTATTTAACTTACGAGAGGAGTAAGGGCATTTCTTGAAATTCTTTAAAGCATAACAATACAATTCAAGCGCACAGCTGATTTCTAGAGTTGTCTTTGGCTCCATAGAGGTATATTTTTTTAAGTTGAGCACTCAATGTTATTTAAATTGGTTTCTTTATTTTACTAGTGAGTCTTTGAAACTTTACTTCACTCATGAAGTAAAGAAGTTGTTTACATCATGCTTAGCTTGGGATAGTGAAGTTTAACATGGCGGGTTGGGTAAAATAAATTAAACATTACTCTTTCTACTCATAGTGACAAATGACACTTCATAGTGTTAAGATTTTAAGTGCACTACAATTATGTAGCGAACTCACAATACACAAACTACGGTAACAAACTACTTGCAGATTTGAAGCAAAACTAGGTTATTCTATTCATGTAGCTTCAACATTAGTTGAATTTGTAGTTTTGTACCGTACTCAGAATTTATTGTTCTTATTATGTTATACATTTTCCAACCAAAGGTAAAATAAAATACAGTACAAGTAAAATAAAAGGTATCAGCAA